ACCTGCGCTATTGAATAGCGCTCCGAGGTCGGCAATTAACTTTGGCGCCATCACCTCACGGTCCAAGGCCAAGAACAGAAATGTCGCCTAGATCCCTTTTCTGGAATGACGCCGCCCAGAAGCCAAGAACGCTATTTACGTTGGTCTTTTACATACCCAAATACTAACTTGGTTGATTAATTTAATCTACCCAAAACCACGTGGTTGTGGATGGCAATTAAACTGCTTAGCACGCCGCACGCGCACACGACTCCTTCGTCCAATTCGATCAAGCCCGCAGCTGCTGAAGACACGGTAACGTCGCAAATGCCAGCTAGTAATTGGAGCTTGCTGGTGTGCTTCTTACTGGTCTTATGTCAGATGCGGCACAAAATTAACACGTGAAAAATGAATAAATACTCACAAGATCAATTGCTTTTCTGGGTCTTGATTGGGGAGGTTCAATTGACACTGCGAGTATATCTGGCTGATGATCCCGCAGACGCCAGCGGCAAACCATATCCGAAACGCCCTGATCTCCAACTGTCTTGCACCTTTCCAGGGGATAAAGCCGATGCTATTGGCGATAGTCGCGTTATCAAACGTCAGGTATACCGCTATCAGCAGCTGTCGAACGACGGTGACGTATGCTAAAAAACAGTCCTGGTGCGGCTTCTTCCGCGTTAGTAAGTCCGCGGCGCGATTGAACTGCTGGATGAATCTGCCGGTCCGGAGAATCTTTGCCGTTAGTGCTAGTTGTTTCATCAAGAGCTGCCACCGCTGGATTGAAGCTACGGGCGCGTGGTTTCGGCCGAGAAGCCAGGCTGTTGTGCGGGAGGAGAAAGATTAGAAGTTTGAGGAGGATGTCGCGCTCGGTGGTTGTGAAGCGCATGTGGCTGAAGTTTGAGGCGATTGTTGTTACATTTTTTATCATTTTGCGCGCTGCGGAATGAGTGTGAAACTGGATGGTGAGGCTGGGGGATGGTGAGGCAGAGGCGGTGAAGTTGCTGGGGTTGCGATACGCCAACGGGGTCGAGGAGCACGCCACCTCTTTGGGATGCGGAGAGCGTATTCTAGCGAGTCAACTTGACGATGTTCTCGAACATGCAAAAAGATGCCGAGGCTTGATGATAAGAAGATCTGGGAATAAGCTCATTGAAGATTGACGATAGTGGGTCATGAATGAAGCTGGAACACAGCTGGGCCTTGCAACATCAACCCAGAAAGCGACGAGTGTCAATCAATTGACGGGGCAATTTTACAAACACCAAATCCGTGCATGTATCTCGATATGACGAAACTCACTGCATAATGCTAATTTGAGCGTTGTGGTGCGTAAAGAGACTTCTGTCCCTCAACTCTAGGGTATTTTTCGCTTGAAGCTTCAACGGTTGTCTTGACTATACCCCAAGAAATAGTTAGAGCACCATGAGCTTTGCTAGATATAACAAGAATATGAAAGTAAAATGCTTCCCCATGCCCCTCAACGTATTATTGTTTGAGATGCACCTGTGCGTATGCACTGATAGAACCAGAGACTCTCTACGTTAATGCTCATGCTGAACTTTGTAGTAAACTTCGGATCAAACACCAAAAGCAGCACGCCACATCCGCAGATAGGAAAACACGTTCTATTTTCATCAGTCACATATCACATAATACCACGACATCTATAGTCGAAACACCACGAACTCATTGCTCTATCAAGTCTTCCCCGTATCTTCATGATAGCGATCTCGGACTTCGGCGGCCTCAGACGCATCGAGACTACTGTATCCGGGCTCCACCACTCGCACGAGCCTCGGCTCGACTCGCCAACCCAATAGCTTGGGTAGCAGCGCGGAATTAACAGCGCCAAATTTCCACCATCATGGTGAGGCACGGTTCGAGACATTGGCGGTCTTATTCCCGTATCTTGCGGCAGTGGCTGAAACTTGCCAAGATGAGAGCCTGAGGCATGGAAATACAAAAATTGGTGGGTTAGTTAGGCTCCATTTGCATTTAAGCTTACAACGATCGGCAAGGCAGACTGACACGTGAGGAGGAAGAATCGTAAGTTTTATACAAAGGTGATTATTTATTGTGTTCCATTATTAGACGCGTCGGGAAATAAAGGAAGTGATCGCGTCTTACATGCATTGAAGATCATTCGCGCTGATTGGTCCGCTCGGTTTTTGATACAGTCATTGTGGATGATCGCTGATTCTACTTTTGGGCTGTTGATGGGGGCCATTTAAAAAGAACAACAGTCAAAATCGCAATTTCATAGAAGTAGATAGTGACTTTTTATACTGACACTTCAAAGATGTATCTAAACGTGGTTGAACTGGCATGGCGTAGAAACATGACAAGTCCGAGTCCGAGTCCGACGGATGACATACAAACATCACAGCCCACTTGGCACATCAAAACTCCATTGATCAACAGAACTGCCACTGACCGTTTCAAATCCTACCCAATCATCAGTCTACTCCCATCCCTAACGAGATTAAACCCACAGTAAGCCGCCAAGATGCCGTCCCCATTGGCAAGTCTACCAGCTCAGCCCTACCCATCGACCGAGTTCCCTCTCATCCTCCCTTTCTTTCTCCTCTCAACTTTAATTCTAGCTCGCCTTTTCCTTCCCGTGTATTTGTTTATCTACCCTTTTAGCTCCACTCGCCTACGATGCCGACCCTCGAGCCTGCGACTGATCTTGACTCCAACGTCTGGTATCAGCTCTCCGAGTTGGCTGTCGATGATAACGATGGGGACTTCAAGTCTATGCTTCAGCCAACCGCGCCCGGCGGTGACTTGAGAGTCGGGACTCCTAACGGGAATTCATACTGGCAGTTTGTACGTTGATCTCCCTCGCGAATCGAGTTAAGATACTAACGTCGTGTAGCAAAAGATAGGAGACAAACCCGGTCGATACCAGCTTCGATGCTCAGACACGACCGTTCAGAAACAACTATCCGTATGCTACCGACCGGAAGTCATCGACGCAAAACTCCGCACAAGGCCGTGCTTGATGCCCATTGAAGATAGCGAGATGCAGCAGTGGGACATCTCGCAATGGGACTCGGATACATATCGGTTGACGAATGTCGAGAACGGGACGAAATGGAACTTGGACTGTATTCCCAATGGTCCAGTTATCTTGAGCTCTGATCTTGAGGGGGCGCAACCGCGGCAGCATTGGTTGATGAGTAGTGTTGGGCTGGTGAATAATGAGATGTACTCTACCGTATACACGGCGGTAAGTAAACAAACTGTACTCATACGCGACCGTAGCTGATTGAAGTCACAGCCGCCTGCGTCAACAGGCGAAAGCACCGCTACGGCTGGCACAACAGGCTCCGACTCAACAGCCGCCACCGCCACCGCAGACTCAAACAACCCCAGCAACACCAACAGCGAGAGCAACGACACTGGCAGTAGCAGCACTGGTCTCTCAACCGGCGCAGTCGCTGGTATATCCGTGGGCGTGACCCTGGGCGTCGTCGCACTCGCGCTCGTAGCATTCTTCTTCTGGCGCCGCAACAAGCGCAAGTATCAAGTCGCCGGCACCAGCTCCCCGGACTCTCCCGGAAAACTTGGCAGCTCTCCCATCGCCGCGTCGCCTAACCCTGCGTACAGTTCTGTCTACTCAGCCGAGAAGAATAATGCGACGCCAGCGGCTGAGATGATGCATGAGCAGAGACCTGTTGAGCTGTCGACTGGCCAGCATCAGCGACATGAGCTCGCATAGGGGATGGATTGGAGCTACGTTCACCTGTACATATAGCAATGATGTATTCCAGCGAGGCGCATGATACCAAGACTGTATAATACATAATTAATCACTGGTTACCAGGACCAAGAGCCCTCGGTGAAAACAATGCAAGAAATAAAAAGAAAATTAATCTTATCATGATTGTGGAAAGTGCAAAAGAAAGGTCTCGGAGGGAGTCGAACCCTCGCTGGCGGAATCAGAATCCGCAGTCATAACCGTTAGACCACGAAACCATTAAAGGTATGACCTTGATTGCTGAGAGCGGAAAACTCAATCCGCATCTAAGTTCGCTACCCTACACGCGCCTGTATTTGGCTCCACAAAGCCAATCAGAATCTTCATTTGCTCAGGCTTGTTCGACGCTCGAGTGGGCTCCGAGCGGCTCCTCATGAGACTTCAGGCTATCGTAGCACTTAAAAGTTAATAGCAACAGTATGCCAGGATTCGCCTTATTATTGTGTTCATAGTAAGCTATGGGGATGACTGCCGCCTAGAAGGTGACGGTGAGCACTCTGGGTCACAAGTATTGCCGTTGGGAACAACATTCCTTGACAACAGTGTTTATGTATTTAGTCTGGTGATAGGATGGGTCGAGTCGTTGAAGGTGATAAGACATTGTGAATATCTCAAGCTTAATAGAGTCACGCAAGTCTACCGATTAATGCCAGAATATAGTGCCACTTTATATGCGCTGCGATTCTAGATAAAGTAGCTAATAAATACTAATAGAGGTTCTGTTGTCTGGAAAACTATTTAAGAATACATTTTATTTAGCATAAAGCTTCAAGTGACATAGAATGCAGTTCCATAAGATTAAAGCTTATTAAATGTTGCTAGAACCTGAGATTCTATTTAAGTTGATCGATCAGCGTGATGAACTCTCGCTGAACGCTTTGCATAAATAACTTCTTGACAGTCTTACAAGCCTATTGAATAACCAGTTATTGCTTTCAATGCTTCTTTTCCACCAGAACGCTTTGTTGCGTCTATGAGATTAGGGTCACGTATAGCGCATAGTATTTCAGTCAGCTTTACCAGACATAGAGCCAGGGCTGTCCTGCATAAGAGCGTCATTGCATTGAGCATCAGAGTAATAAAAGATTTGATATATCATCAATTTCATAAAAGCCACCAGGAACATCCACAAATGGGAATCCGTTTGGCGCCTTTTGCATAATCCAAACGCTCTTGTTATCTGCCCAGACTAACTGACAAACACCCAACCATTGTTGCCTCCCTATATCTCTCCTTCACTCAACATCTCTACTCAGATATAAGTCTTGAGAAGAGAGTTGTAGTACGTATAAGAAGTACCGCTGGGAGGCTCAAAGCTGTACATGTAGTCACCCCACCAAGGACCAGCAGCCCACCAGGTAACACCCTTCCAAACATCAGAGTTCTCCTTGAGATAGTCTAGCATGTTCTTGACAGCAGTCTTGCAGGTGTCGTTAGGACCGCCGGCGAATTCACCGATCATGCCGATCTTCTTGTTCTTCCTCAACCATTCGGTAGCAGCCTTAAGACGCTCGACTCCAATGGTAGTGGAGACACAGTTGGGTGAAGTGCCGGAGCTGTCGGAGTCGAGGTACTGATGCATCTCGTAGACGATCTTGTCAAGAGGGTCGGTGAGAGCCTGGTGATGTTAGCTACGAGAGTCATTGCGGGAAGGGGAATGCATACCTTCATGTTGTCGTTGACGTCGGGCCAGGACCAAGCACCAGACCATTGATTTCCCTCAACAAAAATAGTCTGAGTAGCGCCAGCATCACGAATACCATTGATGGCAGCCTGGTTCAAGTTGAGAACAAGAGTCTGATCCATGGTGTTGTATTCATTGTTCGTGTCAAAGATGATCTTGCTGTTGCTCTTGAACTGGGTAGCAAAGTTCTTCCACCAGGTCTGGAAGTCAGAGGTCGAAGTGATGATATTGTTAAAGTAGCGGCCGTAGTTGTGAGGGTCGAGAATCACGTTGGCCCCCTTGCCGGTGATGTGCTCCACGATTGAGGTGAGGTTCTTCAGGTAAGCGGTGTCAAAGGCTCCGGTCATGGAGCTGGGGTTTGTGCGTTCCATACGGAGTTGAACGCGGAAGGTGTTGTAACCCTGCGAGATGAGGGTCTATACCACGTCAGTCCCATTCTCACCATTGCAGTGTTTTACTTACATCAACGGCAGCGGGATCAGGGAAGGTGAAGTGCTTTCCCCAAGTTCCAGGCAAATTGGTCTCACCAAACTCAGCACCAGCCTCATTAGTACCAACCCAGAGAAACTTTCCGTTTCCAGGTGTACCAGTAGGCGTGCTACCGCCACCAGTAGTGGTCTTGAGGGTAGTAGTAGGCTCCTCAGCAGTGCCGGGGATACACTGGCTGTACCACTCATTGACGACGGTGCACTTGTAGCCAGAGACGCAAGTCTTTGAGCCAGTCCAGTTGTTTCCACCGCATTGTGCCCAGGCACCGCTTTGAGCGGCCGAAAGGCCGGTGAAGAGGCTGAGAGCGAAGAGGTACTTCATGATGCTGGTTGATCTGGATGCACTTGTCAACTGAGGATTATGATGAGTTGAGGGATTCGTGAATCTTTTATATGTGATTTACTAGGGGTAGGAAATGGGATCTAAGCCATATCGGGAGTATATCTTTCGACGATGTCGGAATCAGTTGCTCGACATCCGTCGAACCATAACTGGTGTCACTAAGATGAACAAAATGTCAATCATCCCGAAAAAAGCCAACTACCGGCCCGTGACCCGTAAAACACTCCGGAGTTTTCATCCGCCAAGCCTTGGGCAGTCCATTCAACAATCATCTTGAGTATCCGGAAGGCTTCTCCGTCTGGGAATCGTTACTAGACCGATCCGTAACTGACCACGGAAGACGTGACTCCGCGCTATGGACATCACGGGCACATGATCAATTTCAAAAGTGGTATCTACCAGCCTGGTAATGTAAGGAGACTTGAACCGTGTTTCTGGGGTCGGATCGTGGCATTGTGTGGCGATCGGAGGTTGGTCCTCCGAGGCTGTTTTGAGATTGGAGCGATGCTCGGCTCTTCGGAGACAAGGCCCACGGATCCGCCATTGAAGGATTAATTTTTAATAACACATTTCAAAAAGGTTAATTGAAGAGATATCGTCGCAGTCGATATTAATTGTAGGTTCGCAATTGTTGCAATCTTAGCTTCTGCGATGGCTTGGAGTGCAAGATCGTGAAGACGGCGTTACTGTCAACCTTCACTCTCGATCAAAGCCAGGATGCCCATTGCGGGGTCGAACGAAGTTGATGATTATTTTGATTATCATAATTTGAGATGTATTTGTTACCGTGGAGTAGGACTTGACTGTTTCGCCCTCTACATACTCCATTGCAAATGAGTTGTTAAGGTACAATTTGAGACAACACATTCAGTATCCCTCAACCTGATGGTCTTAAAAAGCAGCTCCCATCCTACAAGCATGCATTAAAAGAAGGCAATGATTAGATTACATTCAGGGTATCACCAGGTGATCCACAAATGAAGCTTCTTAAACGCCACGTTCAGAGCTCTCTTATCCGCAGCTAGCGATAGAACTCTAAATAATGGCCTGTTAATGTTGCGTAGTTCAGTATCTACCACGCCGAAAAGAAGCTTAGGTCTCAGAAAAACCGGCTTCCAGTCTCTCAAACTGAATGAATATTGTCAGAAGAGAGACAGCCGAACCCTTCCATATTCACATTGTCTTATCTTCTCACCTTGTCACTCAAAGTGTAGTGTTATCAGTCGCTTGGCTTCGTTGTCAAAAGCGACTCGACTTCCATAAAGAAACTTCATCCAATTAAAAATACTAAGACCAAAAACGCCATATCCCCAAAATCTAACCCCTCATCCTCTCACCTAAACTGTCCAAACCAAATACTATCATCCGGCCTCATCCCCTTCATTACACCCTCCCTACCACACAATCCCCTCTCCTCATCACCAACCTTCCAATCCTTCATGACCTCCGGCCTCACCAACATCTGCATCAGCATTCCAGACTCAGCATGCCACGTATTATGACAATGAAATGCCCATAAACCCGAATTATCCAGCACAACACGAATGACCGCCCAGGCATACCCCTCGACAGTAAGTGTATCTCTCCTTAGTGGATTTTCCAAAAGGCCGTGTGATTCTAGGTATTTTGGGAGATCTGCTGCGCTGGGGGGATAGCCGTCGCGGCCTTGGAGGAGGACGAAGAATTTATGGCCGTGGAGATGGAAGGGATGAGCGCCGTCGTCGAAGTTGTTGATGGATATGTCTATTGTTCGAATACCGCTTGTTTCTAGCACAAATTCTTTTTGGCGTTCAAAGACCTTCTCATTGATGGTGATTGGGTTCTTGACAGACGTGCTCTGTAAGCCACTGTCGAGGAACCGATGTAAAGACGGATGCGTTGCGTTAGCATGCCAAGTCGATTCATTGAAGAAACCCCTTGCCAAGCGCCAGTCTCCTATCTCAAAGTTTGCGCGAAGAACGATGACTTCATCTGCTGGAGGAGGTGATACAACTTCAACAGGTCGAAGGGCGGTGGTGTTCAGATCGCGACAGATGACTTCAATCGCATCAGGCCATTCCTTGCTCTTTGGCTCCTCAAAAGCTATCTTATCATCCTTGTCGGTATATCGAATGATAGCCCTTGTTTCAGACTGAAGACGTTCATTCTTGTTCTTAAAGCAGTGCGTCACCATCCTAGCCCTCATCCAGAACGTCGAAGCTGTTGTGACATTCGTCTCAAGGACAACGCTATACCGTTGTGCTGGAAGGACGTTTACTCGATGGATTGGTTCGGGATGAACATCTGTACCATCGACTTCAGTGACGTAGAACGAATGCTCGTCGAATTGGATCTGGAACTCTGCAAAGGCGCCGACGTTGATGATGCGCAGTCTGTGACGCTTCCCAGCTTCAAGATCAATCGTCGGGATCGCAAGGTCCGTAGTATTACACGCCCAACCCTCAAAGTCCGCACAATCGCGAACATTCCGCCCGTTGATAAGACCATTATCAGGTACCGGCTCGTTATTCTCCTGATCTGGCGCAAGATACTCCATCAAAAGCTCCGAAGTCAAGTTATGATAATGATCCTGAACCATCACAACTCTATCAGTCGCATAATCCATCTTCTGCAGGTCCTTTTCCTTCTTGGAGTGAACAACCATAGGCCCAAGCAATCCATCAGACGCTTGTGCGCTATGATGCGCATGATACCAATATGTTCCATGCTGGCCCATGACATCAAATTTATAAGTAAAATTTGAGTTTGGCGCGATGGCGCACTGAGTAATGCCAACTGTTCCATCCATATTATTCGTGCCGTTCTGAAACATGCCATGGAAATGAATAGCCGTCGCATTGGCAGCTTTGTTTTCGACGTGGACGATGATAGTATCGCCGTCGTTGCATTCAACGAGAGGACCGGGATATTGATTGTTGATGAGGATCATTGGTCTGAAGACGCCATCGGGATTGAGGACGGCGTCGTTGATGGTCCAGAAATATTCCCTTGTTGTTGGAGGGGAGTCGAAGTCCCATGATGGAGAGAGGATGTATTCTTTTGTGTCGCGGAGTTGAGGTGTTGAGGGGATGGATTCTTGGTGTTTGATTGTCTCTGGCGTTGGAGCGGGCTTGCTTGGTTGAGGGGGCTTTGGATGCGTTTCTTTGTGTGTTGAGTGTTTGACCTGGAGGTTGAGAGTGACTGCAGCCAAGAGCAGAATTGAAATGAGACCAGCGACCGCGATGAATATCGTCAAGCCCTTGCTTTTTGATGTTTTTGTCCTCGATGATGCCTTCTCGACCGCTTGCTCTGACTTCAAAGCAGCCTCATCACCAAGAAACCACGTCCCCTCACCATGTCTCTCATCCTCCTTCACCCAACGCGTCTTGATCTCATCCATATTTCCTCACACTCAAAAAAATACAAAAAAAGCCCACGTTGTCATGTCGTTCGTTCAAAAGAACAAACCTCAAGTCCAAGATGAACCCTCAATGCATACTCCACCCCACCACAACAGGGATCTTCTTAGCGTGACGTTAAACCCGAGGAACCGGAAAAGTCGGCACGCGAGCAGGACCCTTCCAACGCCCCAAAGACACTCACACGTGCCCTGCCTATGCAGTCCATTGGCGTTACATTCCCCCGAGGACATATTACAAAAGTTCAATATGATTTACACCAACGACGTTGCGTTGACCGACGGTGGAGAAACGCACGGCACGGTATCCGTGCAGTTTGATCTGCGTCCCTATATGAAACCCAATAACGCTGCTGCCAATTGAGCGTCGATCTTTAGCTCAAGTTCAAGTTCAAGTTCAAGTTCAAGTTTGTCAATCGTTATGCTCTTCCAAACTGCTACCCTCTTGGCCGTTGCTGGCCTGGCCCTTGGTCACTCTTATGAGCCTCCCAAGGAGCATAAGCAGCACAAGCATCAGACTGGCTGGGAGACCAGCTACACTGCCACCGGCACCGCTGAAGTCGCCGCTGCTGCTGCAACTGCCAAGACTAGCAGTCCTACTTCCCATGTGAAGGGCAAGGCCTTTGATCGCATTGCCATTATTTACTTTGAGAATGAGAACTATGAGAAGGCTTTCGGTGACCGTAAGTTTCCCCTCCTCAATTGATCAAAGATGAAAACTGACGGGAATAGCCAACTTCACCTGGCTCCGCAAGAAGGGAATCACTCTCGAGAACTACTTCGGAGTGACCCATCCCTCTGAGCCAAACTACATGGCCGCCATTGCAGGTGATTACTTTGGCATGCAGAACGACGACTTCAACCGCAACCCGCGCAACGTCTCTACTGTCATTGATCTCCTCGAGCACCGCGGCATCTCCTGGGGTCTGTACCAAGAGGACATGCCCTACTCTGGCTTCGAGGGCTTCTCGTGGGTGAACCACCAGAACGGCAAGAATGACTACGTTCGCAAGCACAACCCCGCTGTTCTCCACGACAGCATCGCTACGTCTGAGCAGCGCCTTTCTCAGATTAAGAACCTCTCGCTCGTCGACACTGAGAAGTCTGTTTTCCACAAGGATCTCAAGGAGAACAAGCTTCCTCAGTGGATGTTCATCACTCCCAACATGACTTCTGATGGCCACGACACTTCCGTTACTGTGGCTGGTCAGTGGGCACGTACTTTCCTTGAGCCTCTTCTCAAGGACAAGAACTTTATGCAAAACACTCTTGTTCTCGTTACTTGGGATGAGAACGAGACCTACGCTCGTCAAAACCACATTCTCGGCATCCTTCTCGGCGACGCAGTCCCCAAGCATCTCGTCGGAACCAGCGACAACAGCTTCTACAACCACTACTCCGAGATCGCCACCGTCTCCGCAAACTGGGGTCTCGACACCCTCGGCCGTTGGGACGTGGGCGCCAACGTATTCAAGGTTGTTGCGCAAAAGACAGGTGACAAGATCCGAAAGTGGAAGTCTCACAAGCTGGACAGCTACTTCTGGAACGCCTCGTATGCTGGTCCCTTCAACACCAACGGTGGAAACAAGGAGTATGTTGCGCCCAACTTGGATCTTGAGCATAGTTTCTCTGGACGAAAGATCTTTGAGCCTATTCGTGAGGAGTGGAAGAAGAGCAAGAATCCTACTTACTACAAGGATACTATTGAGGTAAATGATGGACTTAACCCTCCTAAGGGTTATGAGCCTGCCAAGTCTACCTAGATTGCTGTATAGATACTCGGTGTAATCGGAAAATGTAAATAGCATCAATTCTACGATATCAGTCTAGATAGAATAAACAGCCAATTGCACTCAACCTTAACTTCTAAGTCCTTAATACACATTTTTAAACGTTTCATTATTCGTGGTTCAACTGCCAAGCACATGCCAGATCGCCAAGTCAACGGGCCGAACGATTCATCCATTAGCCTTTCGTCTTTCAGGGATCTTTTGCACTAGGACACCATCTCCCAGGGGCAGACGAATCAAATAGCGCACTTTGGTCAGCGGTCGCTAGCGCGTGGCCGACCTGTAAGATCGCGGCGTTGCACCATGTGCGATGTAGATCACTTCGCTTGCGGGACTGTTTTGCGCTGCGGTCGGCAATATCATGCCGTGAGCTATCCTGTCTTGTCACCGATGAGATGCATCATGGGATGGAATAGGAAGGCACGTGGGAGGTGTGAAGGACTTGTGTCACTGCGTCTTTGAGACTTTCTTCCTTCTTACATCTTTGTCTACGAACTTGAGGTTTGGAGATTAGCAGTGTCGTTTAAAATGAAGTCATCACAGAGTCCAGCATTCAAGCGCTTTTTGTCCGATTTTACGCTCGGTTTCTCAGATGGACTTACAGTACCTTTTGCCCTGACGGCTGGGCTGAGCTCGCTTGGAAAGACGGATACCGTCATCACTGGCGGATTAGCAGAGCTATGCGCGGGCAGTATTAGCATGGGAATTGGAGGATACCTCGCAGCACGAGACGAATGTGCACCTTGCGAGCCCAAGTCGAAAGACTTGGAGGACTCGAGAGAGAGTTGTGAGAGGAACAGCGAAAGCGACTACATGGTTGAACAATCCGAGAAGATGCAGATGCAAGCGGAGGAGCTGGTGCGACAACATCTCGAGCCTTTGGACCTACCGAGTTCAACAGTCACGACGATCCTCAACACGATTCAACAAGAGCCATCAGATCTCCAACGCGTGGTATCACGCTTAAACACGTTAAGAGACGACATATCGCCCTCGCAAACAACACCTCAAGCGCCAATTATTTCTGGCCTCTCGATATCACTAGGCTACACCATCGGCGGCATCATTCCTTTATTTCCATACTTCTTCACCAGCACAGTAGGCCTCGGTCTTCAATGGAGTTCATGTCTCTGTCTCTTGGTATTGTTCGCCTTTGGAGCTGGGAAAAGCTACATCCTCCAAACGGGAGACGCGTCAGTGCATTCGTGGATCATCGAAGGGCTTCAGATGTTGGTCCTGGGTGCATTGGCTGCAATAGCGGCTGTGGCGTGCGTCACGTGGGTTGGAGCAAATTGATGGATGCCTGGTGATTCAGAGTTCAGGCAGAAGCGTGAATGCAGAGGTGGACGAATGAGAGGCTGAGCATTCGAGTCTAACTTTAGAACGGTGATTGTTTGAAAGTTTCATATATAATCGTGACAATGTTAACCAATAACAATTAAACGATTTGTGCTACTTCCAAAATGCAGTTATCCGCTTTTCCTGCTCAAAACAACTCGATGAAGTCCGACTTCTTCGAGGGGTATCTTTCCATCCGTGACGCCATGCAAAGTAAATAAATATGATAATCTGTCCTCGCTCTCTCTGCCATGAAGTTAGATCGGGGATACTACATAGATAGTAGAATATGCTTGTGGAGGGATGATCTTGTTGTCAGCTTGTGCCTTTCGTCCAAGTTGAAGTCAGCTTTATGCTGTAGCCATTGGTCAGTCATCGTGGTATCGATGTATAAGTTGTAGGCTAGAAGTGTTATTTGCAGTTGAGACTTGTGGCTGAGAGCTTATTCCAGCAGAGAGAACCTAGAAGTGAACTTGACGGTTTTTTTCTGCTTCGTCCCCGACTTTCTCGATAACCCCCATTCGTAGCCACCAGTGGCTCTGCTGGGTTACTTCCGTAATCATGCCAATAGTCTAGAAGTGTTATTTGCAGTTGNNGCTTATTCCGGCAGAGAGAACTGTGTCGCCGGGCCACGTTTTGGACTGGCCAGAGATGGCATATGTGAAGTCCACCGTTACATCTTCCGTGTGATCCTCCTACTTCCCACTTGGCCTGCACTTGGCCCCCTTCCCAATAGTCCATCCTTTCATGAGCTTTCGCCTCATGATTTCATGAAAGGACGAGTAGGCTGACTTGATCTGGCATCCCACTGCCCTGCAACTGCCCCTCTGCGTGAAGCAACTTAGAAAGTATGTCTGCGAGCCATATTGCCGCAAGCCCTGGTTCTCCTAAGCCTCACGTCAAGGTAAAGGAAAACTGGGGGAAGTCACCAGACGCTTGTACAGGACAATCAGACTCTTCTTCAGGGTCATACAGGTCTGCACCCATAAAGGGGTTGGCTTCTGGGAGGCTGACATCAACCAAAGGATCTTGGCCAGATAACGCTGATGCCCCCTGATCAGCCAGAGTCCCTAGTGCCGCGTGCTCCTCAGGGAAAGAGCCATCCGGTAGCATGTGATCAAGATAGCTAAACGGCTTAGAGGAACTCGGAGGGTCGGGAGACTGGGCATCACTGTTGGCCTCTGGAGTAGGCTGAACAGGCTGCTCGGGGGAGAGCCCCTCGTCCCAAGGAACAGCCCCCGGAGCCTCTTCGTTGGAGGAAGAGAGGCTGGGGGTTGGGACAAAGGGGGCAGAGTCAACAGAGGGCACAGGAGGGGCAATATTCCCAGCTCCCATGAGATCTCCCGGGGGGTTTGGGATCGTCATGTTGCCTCCTTGCGGAACCTGGGCCGCCATGTCAACTTGAGGAAACGACATGAACGAGCTGTTGACCAGAACGTTCTGTGGCATAGTACCGAACTGGTTGGCCACGACAGGTTGGGAAACTGTGGCAGAGGAGGCAAAATTGGGAGCAGGGACGGCGGGACGAACAGGGGCAGGACCAAAACGCATGCCAGGATGGGCTGGCTGCCCCAAGGGATGCCGGACAGGCGCAGGTAAGCCAGCATAAAGGGGATCAGGAAGGGAACCAGAAGCCTGGGCAGGAGAAGGGACAAGAGCAGGGGGGTTCACAAAGCTCCGTGGGTTCTGGTACCCGGCGACAGGGAGCTGCTGGTACCCAGCAGCAAACCTACCCTGCACAGGACCAGTGGCTGCGCCGCATTTAGGACAAGAGGTGTGCCCATGGGGTTGAAGATCGGCTGCACCTTGTTTCCCCAGCTCCACTTTCGTCGGGGATCTCCTCTTGTCCCGGTTCTGAGCTGCCCTGACCGGGTCCGTCTTGGCCCCGATTGGACGACCACGAGGCTTAACCACCCGCACGGCATCTATAAAGTCTGTTAGCCATGGCCCGTTTGTGCGTAAGGGAGGGCCTGTGCTTACCTTGGTGGCCCGTCTTGTCAACGCATGTGCCTGTTCGGTGCCCCACGCGGCACTTGGCACAGGCAATCTTTTCACCTCGCTCGTTGGTTCTCATTGTAACTGGCGAAATACTGAGTAGAGAATGTTAGGGTGGAAGGGGAAGGTCTTTTGGTGTTTCTTACCTGTCAAGTGTGAGTTGTCGAAAGTTGGACTTTTTTGTCGAATGTGGTTAAGTGAGAAAAATGAGAAGAGGAGGACAGGGAAGAAATTCTGGGATTATATAGAGGCAAAGAGAACTCAAAAGTGAAGAGATAAGATCTAAAAAATTGCAGAATGAAAGCTTGTTAATCGGCGGCTTGGCTCGGTGAATGAAGGCCTGGATGCTCCTGGCCGTCCTGTCTTTCGTCTGGTTTGTGGCTTTGATGGATGAGTAGCAGTACCGAGAGTCACGAGTTGTGCACTTAGAAGGACTACGTTGATTCGTCGTGAGCGGATGTACAGTGTACTGAGCACTCAAAATAGAGACATTATTGAAAGCATATTGATCAGTATGGCCGAAGGGGTAAGTGCAGTGCGAAGGAACCTCACAAGACTCGTCAGTGAATGTGCGTAATTCTGTGCTGCTTCGTCCTTGCCCAGATCTCCCCTTATTTGATAAGTCCACTGGCACGATAATTTCCTCTATCATGGGAATCGTTTGGATCCTACAAGTAATATGATCATTCTGAATTGAGATATCCAGCTGCGTTCAGTACATATGTAGACCTCCTCGCCCATGGTGGTGGGAAGCCTGGTTCTGGGCGACGTTCCTGAGTACCTTAGGGAACCATGCCAGGATTTAAAATTGGCACCAGTTGATCCTAAGTTCAAATTAGTAGCAGGATCCGTGAAAAGGCTTGTAATGACTCTTCCGTGAGATTAGATACAGCTTCGGTGAGGTCATACCTTTCCTCCGTCTCGTGCCATTGGTTCTCACGGTGGCGAGCACAGTGTCGAATGTCCAGAATCTTCGAAAAAGGCGCGGAGAGAAACTGGTGAAGGTTTACCTCTGGCCACAATTGACAAGCTTAGAATGCCTAGTCATGATGCTTGGGGCATTCTCTTCTCGGATTCAAGTGCGGTGGTTACTCGGTAAGGCACAGAATATCGAGGGATGTAGTTACTGACGTGATCTTTTTTTTCAATCAAGATCTACCCCATCCTCAGAATATTGACGACGGTAAAGATCTCATGCAAACCATTTATGATGAAGCTATATCATGAAAGCATTGGCTCCCGAGGCAACAATCATGCTCTACTTGTACAGATATCCTGGAAGCTATCCTGGCTTTCTCCCATGATCACTAACGATTGTTGACATCTATACCATGTTTTTTCAATTGCCAGAGATTCCCAGTGTCAGAGGCCCTCAAACCTGAACCCTTAGTGGAACAATAGATATATTTGCTGTGATCAGTCGAAAGAGGGCTCGAGGAAGGTGCTGCCCTGTTCCATCACACCAAAACTTTGCATTTCTTAGCACCAACCCAAAAGGAGGGACCAGACACTCCGAGGCTCATTGCCCTTCCATTATGCTCAATCGCACTCGCTTCTGAGCTTTACACGCTCCGTGTCATGGTTGAGCCTCAAATCCCACGTCTACGCCCCTGAGCTGCTCTGCATGACTCACACTAGGAAGTATGGTTACACTTAGGGTTTCCCATCAAGCGAATGTTCGAGACGCCTTTTGTTCAGGCACTCCGTAATCACTTTGAAGCTGGACTGGCTTATGATGTAAGGGCTCAGCGTACAGTACAATTCGGGCTGTGGTTCATATGTCTGTGGTTGCCTGGGAAACTCACAATCCGATGGCGTTCCAAACTTAAAACAGGAGACTTGAAGCATATCTGTGTGAGGCAAGAAGTTGACTCGTTTATGTCACATGACTATAAAGTCTAAAATATGAGGTTCAATCCTGTGCATTACGACACCCATTGTCCCCAATCCCAAGCCCTCATTACTGATGATTAGATAAAAACTGTGCAAAGACAGAGTTATTCCGAGCCGGAACCTCACATGACGAGGGCGGCAGCGACACCAGCCAGAGACAGAACACCAAACGCACGCGTGAAGGACGACGAAGCACCAGATGTGTTAGTGGGTGTTGCTACACCAGAAGTCTCAGATCCACTTGCATCGCTTCCCGAAGCCTTGGTCTTGGTGGCGTCGCTAGCAGTCGCAGTGGCGCTCGCGTGTTTAGCGTCAAGCAGTTCCTGGCCGGCAGTGATAGAAACAGCACCATAATCGAATGTTCTAAACCCGTATTCCTCCAGATCATCAGTGTTGGTCAGAGTAGCGGTAGGATGCCCATCGTCGTTGCCGCCGATATTGATAGTGGTGCACTTCGTAGCGACGGTGCGCGACATCTCGCAGTGGATGGAGAACTTCCAGTCATCTTCTGCGTCGCCGGGCATGGTGACGAAGAGATCAAAGTCGCCTGTGCTAGCAGCGCCGGGAGGGAGAGTCTTGCTCATGTACGGTCCGATGATGTAAGTGTTGTTGTATACGCCGCAGTCCATGGTATGGGCCTCTTCGCTCTCGGGGTCAACGTAGGGGCAGTTCAGAACGTATGTTGTATGATCCGCATCTGCACCAAGGACTTCAGCAACGAGAGTCTGGGACGAGCCGGCATCGGCGAAGATGGGGAGAGAGGTGACGAGAGCAGAAGACATGTTGAATATTGATAGCGAGTGTATGAAGTGAACGTATTTTTATGGCTGAAAATGAGCGAATGAATGAACGTGAGATGTTGAAGAAGGGAAAATGTCAGCGGGAAATTGGGAAAGGAGAGGGAACAGAATGGGAATAGCAAAGGGGAACTAGCCAGGCAGAAATCCAATCCTTCAGTGGATTAACCTCGATAGAGTTAGGCTCCCCGTAGCGAGTTTTACAGGGCATTCACTGAAGTTGACCAATTAAATGACCCAGATTTGATCAACGCCGGGGATGAAGCCCCGTAGGGCAGCATGAAATGGTGGGTGTTTCACTATCGATAGGAACAGAGTTTGGTGTCTGAACGCTGAACCCAATGGACTTGCACCGATAGCTGTTGATGAACTTTTGACCCCATCACAGGCATTTCTTGGGGAGACAAAGTTGCGGAACGATCCGACGAGTTCGTTGTAATCTGATAACGATATTTGAGAAACCAGGGAACAAAGAATCATGCTGAGGATTCCGAGCATAAAAAGAATTTCGGCAACGAGATGGCGCGACAAGCTTATCTAGGCGCGAGAAATGAACTGCGTTTAGATAAGACAAGATTTGATACCCGGAGATGATTGGAGCCCAAATTAAACAGCACATCCGAGCTTCAGCTTCAGGCACATCCAGGAACAATTAACCAAGTGAGACTGAGTTTGGATAATAAACTAAATTTTGAAACACACTTTTATCGAACTTGACTGGTCTGGTGGTCTAGTGGTATGATTCTCGCTTAGGGAAAACCCTACAGCTCAGCTTGCGAGAGGTCCCGGGTTCAATCCCCGGCCAGACCCTATTCTTTTGCTGATTCCCTCAATGAGTTATCACTTGTTTAATTTTTGCCTGAATGGATTATCTGGTTCTCTCAATAGGATTGTACGTATGTTCCTTTTTAAATGAGAACCTTTAGATTCTGTCTTTTAGCAGAGATTTCTGGGTTTATCAAGCAAGCCTAACCCAGCTTGCTCCTTAGAATTGAGCAAAGGTTGGGAATGGAGTCATGGCGAAGAAGACATTTAACGCAAGCCAGCACGATTATTCATTACATGAATCTGTAGTTGCTTGCCATAGCATGTCAATCCGTAATACCCAATCAAACAAGCCCCCCGCCGACTGGCTTTTTACCGCTTTGTTCCATTACCCTCGCTGCTTATTCCTCTGCTCCAACACCTTCAAAAGCCTCACATATTCCCGTTGATCCTCACCCTCTTCAAAATACTTAACATTATCATCAGACAGTTCCACAATCCAACCATACTTATAATCAACCCTAACATATCTCCACACCACCAAGCTTCTATCCTCCTCCAGCATCCTTCGAATCCTCGCCGCCGCGATAGAATCCTCATTCGCATCATCCTCGCTCTCACCCTCCTGCCATAGAAGCGGAGGTGTTTTGTTCTGCACGACAGATACCTTAAAGAGCCGCATATCGCTCTCCCTCATGGACTTCCAAAGATTAGCCCAAGTCATGGGTTCTAAGTTCCACCCAGGTCCGTATTCCGGCTCAGGCCCATCGCACATGCAGTCGTGTAACTCAAGCTCTTCAAAGCAATCGACTCGACTCTTGAGAAAATCTACCAGGTCAGATCCGATCATGACATTTTTAAGCGTGAGTGAATGGAGGAAGAGGAAGTGGTCTTCCTTCAAGGGTAGAGGGATGCAGTAGTTGGCTGATGCCCCTCCAAACAGACTGTCCGGAGTGGCTTCGAGGGTCAGATGCTTGACGTTCCGCGCATGCCTCATAACGTAGTACGGCAGAAAGTTCTCGATGAATTCTATGAATCCGGGCTTTGTGTGCAAGCAATCGCCGTCATCACCGCCAAAGATACCAATATCCAGCACCTGCAGCCTTCCCAAGAAAGACGCCCATTCTGGTGTTTCCCATGCGGACGCGTTCTTGGCAATGAGGTTTCTTATCCTGAGGTTCGTGATGTTTTGGTTTACCGATATGGCTCGCATGACTTCGTTATATTGCGCACGCCATATAATCTCTTGTTCTTGCTGCAGTGTCTCATCCCATTCCTCCTCGTTGTCACAGATGTTGCCGGGCATATTTGCAATTGCCCAGGATGCGTTTTCACCCCACCAGCCACCACGTCCAAATGTTGCTCCGTTGAACTCGAGGACTAAAGAACGGACATTACTAAGGATGTCGCCTCGCGTGACTTTTTGCAGTGTATCTGTTGGGGCCGCCCCCCATACGCCGGGCATAGGACCGTCGTGGGGCTCGTCCATCTTGTTGGGTTGAAAGGACACGTGCAAGTGAACTATAGAGATAAAGTCTTGATACTTGTGAATGAGCTCTTCTAGAGCTTGCGTAGATGCCAGCGGGCATGGAATAACGAGAGTTCGGAAGAGGAGTCCAAGAACAGCATGGCGCATGAACCAGCTGGCGCAGCTCACGCTTTTGACATCTTGAGGTGACAGATAGTTCGCGATATTTGCAACAAGTTCAACTGGTAGGGTATCAATAGCGGCCATTTTACCGTTAATGAAGAATGAAGAATGTCAAATTTGGAGAATGCAAAGAACAACTTGTGAATTAAAATACTATCACGGGTCTTCTGGTTGCCTGTCGTCGTGCAGCTCTTCGTAACATGATCTTGGCGTACGATATCAATTCTCGAGATTAAGGTAGAGTGACATAGAACGCAGCACAATTGCTGACAGCATCTTAGTCACTCTACTTGTCTTGGCCCAATGCCTAACACATCGATAGTCTCACCACCGTAGTGGAGCCCAATGCGCCACCAACCGACTTCGCTTGTGAGATTTTAACCTGAAGGAGCTGGAGCTCGGCACGCCTCGATAACAATTGGCCAACGACCTTGAGGCTGAAATCACGACTGCATTTCAGTTCATACGATAACTGATCAAACGGCTAATTGTGGTCCATGCACCTGAAGCTCGGTCTCACAACTGTGTTATTGGTCACGCGATATCCTTGACATCGTCCCACTGATAAATAATGTGCCTCTCTCCTAGCGCTGTCTTGAGGACAATGAGCAAATCATCGATGCTCCCTAGAAATTTGAGATATAGCGTTACGGCGACGCAGTATCTTCGGTGGTCTTCATCTGCGATTAAGGTTGTTGTTAAAAGGACTTCGTTTTTTGAAGTGTAGAATGAATCGATGGCGCGTCGGACAAGTGGTGCGGGTAATCGTTCGGGTAGAGGCGAGCCTGTCCGTAGAGCTTGCTCAATGATTCCAAGAACCGCCATGACATCTCCAATAGATCGCTCATCCAGGATGTTGGCAACGCGAATAAGACGGTCCTGCATCTCTTTTGGTAGGGTAGATGCGAGGTTGAGAAGACCGCCGAGTGCTTGGTTCATGTACTGCAGCTGTTCCTTCGTCTGTGCAAGAACCTTTTGATCAAAGGGCCCAAAGCTCAATTCGCCTTTCAGTAACGCGATGGACGGACTCACGGAGAGTAATATCTCTGCAACTTCAATCGAGATATGCTCCGCTACTGCACCCAGCCCTTGATTTCTATCCGTCCGACCCCAGTGAGAAATCAGAAGGGCGTAGTGATCTGAGAGACTTCGCACTGAGTTTGCAAGAATCTTGCAGACGTGCGTTGTCCCAGATGGTGGACTTGGGAATAATTGCACGACAAACGCAGCGACGAAACCGATTAGAACTGTGACGACTCGCTTCCAGAATGCTTCGTAGCCTTTACCCGGAAGACCGTACTGGACGATATGGTCATGATCCCAGCTGAAGCCGAGGACGAGGCAGAAGGTAGCTCCACCCATGATTGTAGCAAATGCGAATGATGGGGGAAGATAGAGACGCCACCATAGCATGGGAATGATCATAACGCCCGTTGAAGCTGCCATGCCGTATGGATTGCCAACACCACTTCCAGCGCCGATATACCAAGCCACCATGCCTATGACGCCTCCAACAATGGTTCCAATCGTACGCGCGATGAGCGAAAATGTAAAGTCGGCCAGATACACAAGTAGAACAGTCTGAGCACTAATAACAGCCCAGATACCCTTCTCTCGGTAGAAGAAACCAGCTGTACTAGGAAGCACAGCAGGTATTGACGTAGCAATGGTAACAACAACCATTCTTAGGGCATACATACCCGACGGATTGACGAGCCAATTGTACGTCGCGATGAAAACTCGACCAATCTTGCTTCTCTGCGCAGAAGAGCCTTTGTATCCGCGGCTGATATCTAGTCTTCGCTTGGTTTCCTTTGTTTGTTCATCGAAACTTTCGCCATCCATCATTTGGTCAGGATCTTCCTCTGTTGAGATATCATAACCTGGAAAGGTTATTTGTCCGTGGAATATCCAAGCTAAAGCATATTGTAGCCGTGAAGGAACCCAAATGCGATGGCTGGTTCGCACTTCTGAGAGGTGGAGTATGTACTCTAGTAGCTTCTCTGTTGCAATAGCCATGTTCAAAATTCGTTCCTCGATGACCATAGCAATCACCATGCTTGGCAGGAATGGTCGATCGGACCCCTCCACTGGTTTTAGGCGGCCATTTTCGTCGAACAATTCTGCGTGGGCCTCGAGAACGCCCTTTGTTGTGTTGATGACGCATGCCTCTCTTGCTTGCCGTGACCTTGCTAAAGTATCGTGAAGCCTTCCGTTCAGCTCCTCCCACTGCACAGGCGAAGGCTTTCCCATCCACCGACAGGAATTAACAGCATGGATATAATCAGCCGCAAGATTAATAGCTTGCGGCCCGATTTCCAGTAAGTCTGATGTCGTATTCCGAAGCGTATTCCTCGTTCTAGAGCGTATCTTAGAACCCTCTGGTCTTTGGAAAGCACTCAAAATCGTAGCATTTTCATGTCGATGATGTTGACCAATCTCGTACTTCTCTTTATCCGTCACAGGTCCGATTCGTCCATCTTCCTGAGCTTTGATATGTTCTTCTTCCTTCTGCTTCCCTCGAACTTGTGCAATTTGGAAATCCAGAAGATACAGACTCGAAAACATGACTTTGCGCGCTCGCTGGTGCAAACCCTTGACATCATCTGCGTTCCATCGACCACGCGAAAAGTCGATCGGCAGAAACGCGAGGGCTGGCTGTCCGGCTTTAAAGACAGCGATCATACCAGCCCTGCTCCCTTGAAGCTCAGCAAGCGGGATGGCCTCGTCAGCAAATCGCCTCTTGGTCGCTGATAGAGCAGAATTGGACATGCGGACTAGCTTCTCAATCTGACCGAGAACCATGTACGATGTTGACTGGGGGAAGAGAAGCAGGCAACATGCCAAGCCCAGACCGATACCAATGGCCCCAGGCTTGACGAGAATGGCGGCGAGGTCGCCTTGAAATGATGGCAGTGTCGGGCCAAAAAGGATAAAAATATCGGTAACGATCGTTCCAAATATCTGCATGAGGACAAGCTTCGGATTCGCGCATCGCAGTCGAGCCAAGACGTAGATAAACAAACAGCCCATACTGAAATACACAGCCGTGACTCTAGCATCAAGCATAAACCCCTCATGAATCAAAATCTGCGCCTCCCACGCCGGCGTCTGTCCCGTCGTCTTCACAATCTCCCCAACCTGCTGCTGCAGCGCCCCAAGCTTAGCCTGCGTCTCAACATCAGAGCGTGTCGCAAGCGCCGCCTTCATCGTCAAAAGACCCCAGCACCAAGCAAGACACATTCCCAACAGCAGCGAAAACGCAGCGAGGAGATAGATGAACAAGATACTAGCTGGGGGAACTGCAAAGAGGAGAATTGCACCGAGGAATGTCGCTTGGCCGATTTCGACGAGGCTGGGGTGGATGAAGATGAGGAGCATCATGACCCATATTGCGATCCAGCAGCGAAGAAAGATCTTCATGTCGTGGGCGTTGAAGTGGTCTAGCCATGGTGGGAGTTTTCGCTTTGGTGATGCCGTAGGGGCTTCATTTTGGTGAGCTGACGCTTCGTCGGAGGAAGGCATTGCTCATCACCTCAATTGGAAGATCTTAGTAGCAATTGAGGTGTTTGGAGGAAATGAGAGATAATTTCAGCCGATGAGGCCGGAGCTAGAGGTTGGAACTTGGTTCTGAGTAAGACTTGACTATGACGTGTGTATGGAGAAGCGTGAAACTCTATTGGTGAGACTAGTCTAAATGTCGTTGGGAGGCATCTTCAATTAACGACCAGATAAACCGTTCCGGGCATTCATTCTACTACCGGTCCGGTTTACTATTTTCTTACTTTTTGTTATTCTGTTGTTCTCTCTCCTCTCGCGAGATTCTTGAGACGTCATATGTTGAAGCTGAGATGAACCTCGGCGTGAAGTGGAGGGCGGGAGGATCAATCTTAGCGCGAGTTGTTTCCCATCTTTTCAGCTGGTGGAGATGAAGATGGTGCACTAAACGATGCCGTAGCCGAGAGGACCAATCAAACGATCAAGCAGGATATGAACTCGGGGGAATCAAGACATGGATGGAGCTCACATGCTATTAAAGGTATGTCGTTGCGTGCACTTCCGACTTCGGTTGCTTGAGAACTTATTAAGGCTGACTACCAACGTAAATTGATTGGGTCACATCACAACTCAAAGAACTGACTCAAGAACTGGGAAAAGAAGTACGTGATCTTTCACTCTGCTGCTTCTATTTCTTACAGATCACAATTTATTTCCATGGATTTATGTACTCTGATCCGAAGCGTCCTGTACAGCACATATTCATCTGTTTTATACACAGAAAATCCAACACTTTGTTTCTTCCTGATTTCTACCTGGGTGCGTGGGAGACCAGATACCAACAAATCTTAAGCAAGACTCCCAAAATCCAAACTAGCCACCCAAGTATATACAACATGAAGCCAGCAGTAAATCCCGGAATCTCAGATAAACTGATTCCAAAACAGGCCAGCAAAAGCCGATTTGAACACTTCGCCAGAAACACAATAATAAAAGGCCCCGCTGTGAGAAAGATTATGATCCCTACCCCCATTACCAGTTGTTCATGAGCCCTCCGAGAATTTGCTGACTCGAATTGATTCGAGTATTCGGAAGCATCGGGGGATGTGAGTTCAGCCTGGCTCAATTCTTCTTCGTGTTCCAGCGTCGGATCATGGTAAGTTGACTGTTCCTCGATAGTGCTCGTCTCATTCTTTGGCTTGGGCTGATCTTGGAGACCCATCGAAGTATGTCGCACCACCGCATCGACCTCGGTAACAGGACCATGTCGTTGTTTCTGTTTGGCAGCTCCTTCATTGACATCTTTCTTCTCAAGGCTCTCAAGCCACCGTGCGGCAGCATTATTCTGGTTTTTATACCTCTCGATGTTAAGATTGTTGCTGACTGGGCTATTTGTGATGCAAAGTGAGATGTTCCGGCCTTCGGCATGCATCAAGGCGGTCAGTCGCGCAAGATACCTCATCTGGTCTGCGTGGTGTTCCCCGCCTAGTCTTTTGCCAACCTCACAAGGTTCTGTCAAGAACCATTCAAGGAGATCCAAGAAGGCGGTCTTTTTGTTAAAGATAACCGTCAAACCGTGGAAGGCATGGTCTAGCAGAAGACCGTTAATGATATGCGCGTGTCGCGTGGAGATTTTGAAGAATGGGAATGAGAAGGTATCAGTCTGACGAAGCTGTCCATCCCAGCCTGGTCGTTTTCTCAAGATTCCATTGACCAAGGTAGAATAGCTGTTGATAGCCTTGTGAACTGGTAGATCTTCCAGTATAGACTTTGTTCCTGGACCATAGATCGAGTCGATCTCAATCTGTCGGTAAAGCTGACGCCCAGCCTTTATCTCAGGATTGTTATCCTCATGTGGCTCTGGGAGATGTTTACTTCTCAAGACGATCATCAATCGAGGTGAGATAGGTGCAAAGAGGTGAAAGCGGGGTCCTATGCGTAGAAATTCTCCTGTTGTTTTGTCCTGAAAGTCGATGGTTGGCCCTTCGTATACATGGCTTCCCGTGTCAGAGAGAATGAAATCCTGATCCTCGCTGGAAGGGGTGCAGAAAGACATCCAAAATGCGTTGATGTGCTCCACGAAATGGCAATAAAGGCTATAGTAGACAGCCGATTTGAGAGTTTGTTGCCAATTTGCTGTCACACTCATATCGAGATCAATGATAGAACTCAAGCCTTGTAACCAAACATCTAATGGTCGTTGAATTCCATTTCGGTCCATAAACTCTTTCAGAAGATCCCGGTCATTCTTCTTGTACTCATCAATGCTGTCGCAGTTGTATGTCTTGAAGAAGCCTGAGCCTCGCTGATTTAGTAGATAAACAAACTTGCGTAGCATTGTTTGCTGAGTCCTAGTAATTGTGACATTTGCCTTTCCGCGTTGGTGAGCACCAATTATCTTGCGAATCACGAGACTCGTCTCACCCTCAAGCTTGCCAAACTTGGCCTCTAGCTCACGAGGGAATGTTGCGTCTGTTGATTGGTCGGTGTACATGTCATTCAGGCCACATACTCGTCGAACAGAACGCTCCTCAATCTTGTAGCCCTCTGGCAAAAGTTCCAAGCAGCTCACGACCCGGTCGCCGGGGTATTTTCCTTTTTCGTGATGGTGCTTTTTGCATTTTGAGCCATTCGCGGGGGCTTTGGGACAGCTGAAAGGGTGGTCGAAGTTCTTTAGGATGAACTGCGGGATGAAGTGTTGGTACTGCGGCGCGTCAGACGACATGATAGCAATCGAGATAGCCGGTCAAATCACGATTCAATCTCGGAGGCTATGGCGTTACGGCAGTGATCTTCGAGATGTGCTTTAGTTGGATCGAATCTAAAAAGGTGAAACTGAAGCTTGGTGAGAAAAGGAAGCGCGTCAGCAGCTGCATGTCTGATTGGGGACCAACAACTTCAGCCGCAGTCTAGACCCAAGGCGGGGTAACAGCTCTTCCACCAGTCGGTCAGCCAGTTACTAGGATTAGGGGTCTCTGAACCACCAGCGAAATCGAGAGATGTGTAACATCGCGCATAAAGGGAGGCACAGAAATAGCACCGCACTTGGAGCTATTAACAGTCCAAGGTGGGGGCCAAAATTCTCATAAGACGGCATGAAGAATACACCACTTGGCTCTATAAGTACTGAGCATGGTTTTATGGAAAATAAATATTATATCATTAACCTTGTAACTGTAAAAAAGCCAATCCACCACTGCGCGAAAATGAAGTTCACCCTTAGTGTCTTAGCGCTTGCTGCATCTGCCAATGCGTGGACCATGCAGTTCGACTGTCCAAGAGGCTCTGACTTCGAAGGGTCCTATTCTGGATCCAAGAACAAGGGCTGCACTTCGATCCCAGCATGTGTTCCAGGCGATCATGTAGGTCAACTTGCTTTTCATGGCTTATCAAATATTTGTTACTTACTGTTGTTGGAATAGATGGTATGGGGTAACACCAAGAAGTCCAACTGTGTTCTGAGGCTGTATGCTGCTGCGCCGTGTGCCGCTGAGCAGGAGATTGGACACTCCAAGGAGAATTGGGATCATAAGTTTGGTCAAGCTGTTTTTGCATGGGGTGTTACGAACTGTTGATGAAAGGTCATGCCTGGTTTCAGACGGAAAGGCTCTCAACAATATGATGTCTTATACGGTTCTCCAAATAGCTATGCAAGGTATATACATGAAATGGTCTCTCTAATCGTCCCTTCACAATAGTTGACCAGTACATCTCATCATAAGCAGTCTTGTCTCGATAGAAGATCTTAAGTGGTGCACTGAGAGTAGTAGTCGTTGAGCGCCTTGCACGTTCCAGTGGCACAGCACTTTGGACCGGTCCAAGTGTTTCCGCCGCACTGGGCCCACAGAAGAGCGCACTACACCAAGTCAGCACATTGATTACCTCTAGATAGCAGTAGAAACTCATGGATATGTGACTTACCTGGCCAGATGGTTGAGTCGATACGGGAGGAACTTGTGTAGATGACGCTCGGGTAGAGGTCTGTAGAGTCGTAGTGCTGCCGCCACCATTATCACCGCCTGGGGCACCATTGCAATCGAACTTGAGCTACAGTTAGATATCACAACAGCGTTTGAGAGAGGTACTTGGTGTTACATACCACTGCAGGTCCAGGGATAGTGTAGCTGTTGAAGTTGGAGTAAATCTGAAGGCTTAAGTTAATATACTTCACAATCATCTTGGTAGCATATTGTCTCACGTTGGCGGTGTATCCAGGGTCGGTTTCCTTGAAAGCACCAGGAATCTTGACCTGGTTGCTGGGAACAGTGCTGCCTCCACCAGTGACACTAATCTGGGCGCAGCTGATGTAGAACTATGATTCCCGATGTCAGCTTATGTGCACCTGAAACTTCGGATGTCGGTTTCCTACCTGAGGAATACCCGCAGGCCAAGGGTTGTGAATGCCTAGACTCTGGATCCGAAGAAGGTATTCGCCGTTGGCAATACAAGTGGGAAGGTTGAAAGTGTAGCTGACTGTGAGCGCAAGAAGGTCAGATTACGAAAAGATAGTTCTCGCCGATGTCAACTCACGGTACATGGGCCACGACGAAGAACTGCCACTGAAGGTCGGGCCTGTTTATACCTTGTCAGTTGTTCTCCTGTTTATCCAGCCGGTTGAGAGACATACCCCAGTCCTTGATCTTAAACCACCCACCGCTTCCATCGTACGACGAGGCAGTGCTAGGGGCCTTGGACATGTAAACTGAAATCGGTCCTTGGTGGTAGACAGCAGTGTCAAGAGTGAAGGTGATCGAGTCGCCGGCCTTAACTCCAACGGTCTGGGTGTTGGTACCCGAGGCACCGACATTACATCGAAGGTCGTTAGAGTCCAAGTCTAATAATTAGCTGTTAGTAAACTACTCCATGAACCTTCTTACAGTGTTGGACTTCGAGACATACCAGTAACAGGAGAGTTGTAGTTCGAGTTCTGACGAATGTACTGAAAGACGGGATACTTGGTCGACCCAACGCTAAGCTGCTGAAAGATATAGTGAGCAGAGGTGCTCTGCACCAAGGCCGCAACGGCCGCGAGCGAAGTAGCGAACTTCATAATTATGTCTCGAGATGTTATGACAGCCGATTGAGACTGGACGGAGGAACATATGAGTTGATGCAAGTTCTGGAGCGAGATATAAAAGAAAGCTGCGGGTCGAACGGCACGGACTTGTGAGTGATCACGTTCCTGATGGCAGTTTAAGTGTTGTCCAATGGGAACGATATGGTGGTCCTCCATTATAGCTCCGTTATAGATTGAATGGTCTCGATGCGTCAACTGACAACGGTGTCAAGTTCCGACAGCCCAAAAGGGGAAATGATGTTGATAAATCTGGAAGATGGCAACCCACCACCTTCCAGGGACGGATGTAATGGCAAAACGTGGTTATTCCTCTTGGCAGCACGATACAGGGACGCGTGGGAGCTCCCTTTCATCGTTGGCTTCCATCGTCAAACAACTGATAGATATCACGTAGTCCATCGTCTCTTCTGTGCAATGCTATAGTGTATCGTTTTATTCTCATGTTCTGTTTAAACCAGTAATTGGAAGCGTATTGAAGAATAGAGCACCGGTGTTTCGGATCTCGCTTACAAGGTCGTTGATGGATTCACCGGTTAAATTTGAATTCGGAATGTCATCCTCCGTTCTCGGATCCGGGAACGTGGGTAACCAACGATGTAACATTCATCTAGACTTTAGGCATTTCTTGCTTTGTCAAAGAAGTCACAAAGTCTCCTTCGCTTTTCTTGAAGGACCAAAGTCTCATCTTCCAACCTTTGTTGACCTTGATTTGAGAGAGGATCGCATTGTCGTCAATTATATAGCCTTCGATGGCTATTTACTTGAGCATACATCCCCTCATCAGCCTCCTAGACAATCAATATTTCACAATTCTTTGTTCAGAAGTCATACCCGCAGATGTCGTTGGATAAGGTATAAGGTTGCATGGAGCTGGCGCTGTTGCGGTCTAGCATCCTGCTAACCCAATTTGGAGCGAGTAGTCGCCTACACAAAGGTTCATCCAGATCTTGAAGAACAGAATGTCGCTAAGGACAACCAAGCTGCAATCGATACCGTCTTTGATAGCCATAAAAAGGCCTACGTCTCTCTCTGCCTGGAACCAAGACGACTCATTCTGTTAGCGTCCTGACGATCTGCCTAACAATGGCGATCTCCAGGTTAGGTGAGCCAATGAAGTAACAGGACAGTCATGTCGAGGAGGAAACACCAAACCCCGCATCGCGCCACCAAATGAAGTGAGTCATATCAGTCGTGGCTTCTGAATACAACAGGAATTGCTCTTCACAAATATTGAATTGGAAAGAGACACTGTCCGTGATCGTATCTACAGCCAGCAAAACCTTCGTCAAGCATACTCAGACACTTCCTGGCATCATCTCAGCTCAACATCAAGCTACCAAAACATCATCAAAATGGCAGAGATATCCTCGCCTCCCAGAGAACTTGATTTCATCGGCAAAGTCGCAGTAATCAGCGGCGCATCTCGCGGCATCGGTCGCGCTATCGCATTCAACCTAGCATCGCGAGGGTGCTCTATCCTCGGCACTTGCGTTAGTGACAAGGGCATCGATGCTCTATCGACAGGCTTGAACAATGAGATCACCGACCGTGTTTACAAAGATACGTCTAGAGAGCGTCCGTCGGGTCAACAGATCAAAGGAATTATCGCCGATGTATTCTCCCCCGACTGCGCCAAAACAATTGCCGATGCACTCGAGAAGTCTTTTGATGGTCGCGTCGACATTCTTGTGAACTCAGCTGGTGACCCGATGCCTGGAGTTATCGGTCAGATGACCACGGAGGAGATCCAACGAAGTCTTCTAGGCAATGTCCAAACCCCCGTCCAAATCGTCGAAGAGCTCGTCCGCCGAAAGCTCTTCCAGCCCAACAGCCGTATCATCTACATATCATCAGTGCGCTCGCGCCTCCCATGGGCCGACCAACTCATGTACGCCGCTGGTAAATCGGCTGGTGAGTCACTGTGTCGAACTTGGTCACAAGCCTTTGGTGGTAAGGACGATCGATACGCTTTCATGGCAGGGACTACTGCGAATGCTGTCACAGCAGGTTTGACGGAGACTGACGCTGTTATGGATTGTGGACCGGAGGTGGTTAAGACCTTTCAGGATGAATTCTTTCCCTTGCAGAGTATACCCAAGTTTGGACAGCCTGAGGACGTGGCTGATGTTGTAGGGATGCTTTGTGGCAATGATGGAAGATGGATTACTGGGTCTGTTGTTAGTGCGAGTGGTGGCTGTATCAAGATGCAATAAGTAACGAGCATGTCACGCTTCGAAAAATTGAAAGAGTACTTTGTAAGGTTTTTATTGGCTTTATTGACATAGGTACACCAAAACAAGGTGGTTAAGGTATCTCTATACAAAAGCGAAACGGCATCATGTAGATGGGTCAAGACATCAACCGGCAACATTAGCTTCCACAGAACGCTAGTCTTTTATCAACTTATTTCTTGTTCATTTGAAGACAATAAGTCTCAACCGCAAGAAAAGTATCCCGAGCTGGGCGCTCCCTAATGATACCGCCGTCAACAAGGCTGTTCAGTACTTCACGGACATACTCGCGGTTGAACTGCATCTCGCCCAGTGGGTTCTCGTCAGGAAGCACAGAACGAATCCGAGCTTCGACATCGCCAAGCTTCGAATCAGGAATCTTGGCAACCTCAAAGAGCTTGGAGTTCTCGGGTGGAGCTTCACCCTTGATCAAAGCGTAGCGGGCTTCATTCTGACGGCCATCGGCGGTGAGCCACTTGATAGGAACAGGGTCGAAGACGGCGATCGTCCAGCGGCTGGGGATCTTAACGTCAATCTTTTCGATCTCGAGGTTGAAGTTCAGAGGGGGGTTGATAACGATGAATAGCTGGGCCTTTGAAAGATTGATCTCCTTGTTGGAAGGGAGCTGAGCGCGGGCCGACATCTTGTTGGTTTGTGTGAGGAGGGTTGTTGATATGATCGGCGAAAGTTGTGAGAATGAAGCAGTTTGACTGTCGGATGCAGAGATGGAAGATGATGTATGTTGGTTTGAGAGTGGACGATCAAGCTGCTCTTGAAGCTGTCGCATGCCATACAAAAATCCTTGATGTTCCCAGTGAATAGACGATTTACCAACGGTATAGTGAATGGGCCGCTGTATATGATTCTGAACATGCGAACTTCCGCTGTCTCCTATGAACACACCGGTCTGTCTCATGAACATCAAGCTCTCTAGGGTCTCGTTGTTTGTGATGTCCTATTAGGCAGATATCGAGCGATCAATGCCAGGATAGCATTATGCATGTTTTATTTGTGGTTGGAACATTTTGCTTAGAGTTTGTGTGCAACACACAGAACTTAGTTTACGGACAGACAGGAAAGGGTTTTCTGAACACATTTATTAGTCATCGTGAAGAGTTTTGGGCGGAAGTTTATGTTCTGAAAAACAACATCATGGCTTCATTTTTTGGGTTTGCAGGCTAGAGCTTAAGCTTATGGCCAACAATCATCTATCGATAACGCGAAAGCCACTTTCTTGTAGCAGTACTGAAGCCAAAATCCTTAAAGAAGAACTACAAATATCCACCAGACAAGTTCGTTCCTCACGACTCCGATCCTTGGACCTACCTAAGATACCTCTACTGAAGTTCGGTCTCTTTAGATATCATCTCAAGCTCGGAAAGAACATCATAAACCTTCTCCCAACTCAGTGGGAGAGTGGGATATGGCTAAGCCTGAGGTTTGGAAGACTTACTAGGGAAGATGAGGCCAAGTATCAGAGTCTCGCCAAGGTCAGGGCGGTATGAGACCCCAATGGCACCTTTACCGCGAATCCATTTGCTGTTGCTCTTCAGATTTAGGAAACAGTCTGCTAGTCAGCTAAGCTCAAGTGTAATTAGAAGCCTTTTTCTCATCGTAATCGACACCTAAATGCAAGTGTCCCAATAGTCTTTGCGTAATACAGTCTAAGCCTCGGATAACCTTTGCTGAGTTCATTTTAACACCCCATGTTAAGGTCCGCTGTTTTCTTAATCCCTAAGGGTTGTGATAAACAGACCACTAGAAAGTAGCGTAAAGCCCAGTGTACTTACTATGTTGATTGATGTCTTAGTGACACAAATACCTGTCTTTCCAGGTTTTGAGGGGGGCTAGGGGAGGAAACAAAACACAGAACCCTGATCCTTAGTGACAAAAAGACTTAGGTAATATAGTCTAAGCTTAGGATAGTTTTTGATGAGCTTATTTTGGCACCCTATATCAAGGTTTGCTGTTTTCTTGCTCCCCGAGGGGGGTCAACAGCCAGGGGGGCCATGTCAAGTCCTCATGCCTGGTACGGAAATGCTTCGCCAATGGATGAGCTTTATCCGCCAGCCTGATTGTGATGGTTGTGCATAGCCCCCGCAATGGCGTTGCTGGGCGTCTCACTGCCCTATCAAAGCCATCAGACCAGCATATTTATTGGCACACAGGTCTCACAACTGACTAACGGCTGAAAATACTGCGCCTCATGCGGGCGAGCCTGAAAATATCTTGGTGGATGGCGAAATCAGCCCAAGAAAACGCCCAACTTCGAGTGCCAGGCGACTCGTCACGAACTCGGAAGCAAGTCTGCTGGTGAATCGAACAAAGGCTTTATCATCTTGACTGAAATACAATGGCCGAGCTAGCTTTGGGTATTGCTGGCGTCGCTGGCACAATCGACGTCTGTATCAAGTAAGAATACCAAAACCGCTTGTCGGCGCTCACAGTATTTTAACACTTTTAGGTTCGGGAAATATCTCGTCAATGCCTGCAAGGACTATGGTCAGGCTGATGAATTAGCCCACGAGCTGTCAGTAAGAATACACATTTGCTGGTTTCGAATTGCTAGCCAGCTAGAAATCGTCAAAGAACTCGAGGATAACATGACCGAGGATCAGCGAGAGCTTCAGTCGCACATATTACGCATCTTACAGTCGAAGCTTGAAGCTGCGACAGTTGTCATCTCCAAGTCCGATAGGCATGGTAGCTCTAAGAGAAACAGGGCTCTGCATTTCGTCAGTCTACGAGAAACCCTTGAAAGCACTGTTACCGATCTTGAGTCTTGGCAAAAGCGATTCGAGCCATCGTGGTTCCAGATTATCAAAACCGGCTCAACTTATACTGAAGATGTGTTGAAAAGCGCTACTCTGACCAACACACGAGACAGAGGGGATCCGGCTCGCGAGGGCTTGAAGTTCCGCCAAGCCTTCAATAACAGCGAGACTGTGAAGCTAGCAGAAAAGGTACTCGAGAACCTTGAGATGCAAGTAATCCCGTATTGTGAGACTGAGCTCGCAGTCAAGCAGAAGGAGAATAAATACCTTATCATTGATACAGTCTCTCGGGATACGGTAGCATTGAGAGATGCTCGAGAGCTTGCATCACGTCTCCGAGACTCGAACCCTTCAACGTTCGGAACCCTGAAATGCAAAGGAGTTGTTCAACTTACGAGAGAGCCGTCCCTAAAGTTCGTTCGTCTTTGGCGTCCCCGACGGGTATTCAAGGGTTCGCAGCTGCAGGGAACTTCTCCTCTCTGGTCCTGCCAACTCACTCACCACTAGACTCAAAATCGCGAGGCAGCTTGTGACAGCAGTTTATTACGTTCATTTATACGAATTTGTTCATAAGAACATTACACCGGAGACTATACTCATCCTAGAGTCTCCAAACGAAGAGCATGCGCAAATGCTTGTGTGTCTCGTTGGATTTCAGCTTTTCCGGTATGCTGATGCCCCGACAAACACTTCCAAGACCAAGAAGAGGAGTCTGGTGTATCAGCATCCTACACGCACCGGGAGCAAGAGTGTGAAGTTTGTCATGCAACACGACATATACAGTCTTGGCGTTTGTCTCTTAGAAATCGGCCTCTGGCGCTCGCTTGTGGAATTTCACGGTGCTACTACCAGACTATCAACAGTGGTAACCAATACTGTAGACTTTCAGTCGGAACTTGATCCCCAAGCTATCAAAGAGACGCTGATACTCCTCAGTCGTACCGAACTGAGAGTGTGTATGGGAGATATATATAGTACGGTGGTTGAGACGTGCTTGACGTGTCTGGACGAGGGCAATATAGGTTTCGGTGACCCCCAAGACTTTGATAATCGAGGAGGAGTCGAGATTGGGTCACTTTATGTCGAAAGGATCATGAGTCCAATGGCCGCGCTTTGTTTTTGATAGTATCATGTAGACATGGGACACAAGATCGAATGTTTGCTTTGTTGATGTATTATGGGCCTCGACATCATCAGCAGTCTTCCATGCAGTTCTTGGTGTACAGTCGTGTGCCACTGTAGTAGGCTATGCTGCAGGCGGAAAAAGCTATATGCGCTCCGAAGCGAAGCTGAAGCTTGAAAGTCAGCCTCTACGGCTGAAAGAATGCAGGCTGACCTTCCCCTCTCCTACAACAACGCCCGATTCAATTCAGTTTCTCTTTATCGACTGAAAGTTCATCAGTCGGTCAATAGCGTGTTATTCGCGTATTATCACAATCCGCGAGTGCCAACATGGATGGATCTCTTTCAGATCTCGTCCGTGACTACCAACTAACCACGCGTTACGAGGGTGTCTTCACTATTCACTTCCATCGTGATCCTGATGCACCTCCGTCAGTCCCTCGGATGGTATGCGACATCGAATAAGCTGTACATAGCTATGGAATTCTTTCCTGATGGGGACTTGTATGCCAACATTCGCGACCACAGACGTTTGACAGACGATGAATGCAGCCACATCATTAGCCAAGTCTTGTCGGGTGTCGCTGTTATGCACGAAGCAGGATTTGCCCATCGTGACGTGAAGCCTCAGGTTAGTTTTGAACCCGTATTCTGGCTATGGCATCTAACTTATTGGTAGAACATCCTAGTGTATAAAGTCTCACAGGACCTCGCCCCAAGTTCTTGGTGGGTGAAGCTTGCTGACTTCGGTATCAGTAAGAAACTAGGAGCGGAGACGACCGGAACAACCCTGGCCTCAGGAACCCCATTATATATGGCTCCCGAGCTCCTTCAATACGACTCTCGGAGCATTCTGACCGAGGATTACTTCAAGGCTGACGTATGGGCTATTGGGATAACTGCGTTCTTCATCTTGACAAAAAGCGTGCCGTTCAAAAGTCAGCCTGCGATATTCCACTATTCAGGGAATTTACAAGACCTTGCAACTATTTTTGCTGATTCCCAACTCACTGAAATTGCTCGGAGCTTTGTCTCTGAGGTATTAAAACCACAACCAGGTGAGAGACCTGACGCAGAAAGGGCAAAGCAACATGCATGGATTCGCCATTGGCTGCCAGAAATCCCAACGCCGGGGGCACTCAGCAGGTAAGTTTCAATCCCCCACCTCAAACATAGTACTGACCTTCAAAGGCAGTCTACAATTTCTTCCTGCCGAAGTTCTATTCAAGACTGCACGGGGGTTGACAACAGAGATCTCGACACTAGCTTCACAAACCGTTTCGCAAAGATGGACTGGCGATTTCCATGATCTTGGCATTCTGCCGAAGGCCCCGGATCATATACAGAACTTATACAACATTCCTTCCAGGGTAGGAGAAATCGAAATTCCGATTGCAGAGACACAATGGATTACCAAACTGGAAAATCATAGACCTGCAAGCATGGGTAATCTGATACGAAACCCACAGAACCCTGGTATATGGCGCGACGTTAATATTTTACAACAACTCCGAGGTTGGATTAGTACTGGAGATATCGACATGGTTCGGTTGCTTGTATACCGTGGAATTGACATTAATGCTCCAGACGAGAATGGGCGAACACCACTGCATCTGTCGGCTAGCATTGGCAATGTGGAAATGGTCCGTGTATTGTGTGAAGGAGGTGCGGTCATCGATATAACAAGTGAAAGTGGCCATACGCCACTCCAATTGGCGGCGATGAAAGGTCATACAGACATGGCCGAGCTTTTGCTTGAAAAGGGTGCTGATATCGAGGCAAGCGACAGCTATGGCGGTTTCACTCCTATAGGCTTCGCAGCAAACATGAACCATTCTGGTGTCACAGGACTTTTACTTGACAAAGGGGCAAACGTCGAAGCAACGAACCGGGTTGGGCATACACCACTTATTTCTGCTGCAAGGAGTGGTTCTGAGGCTACAGTAAAGCTTCTACTTAATCATGGTGCTCATATTGAAGCAACCGACAAATCAGGCAGTACACCGCTTATCTGCGCTGCAAGAGCTGGGTCAGAAGGTGTCATCGAGCATCTTATCCATCACGGAGCTAACGTCAACGTAAGCGAGTACTCAGGCTTCACACCAATGCGCGAGGCCAGGAGAAAAGGCCATGATGCTGTTGAGAAGCTATTGCTTAGAGCAGGTGCTAGTATCGATGGCAGCAGCCCAGAATTGAGTACATCGCTACATGAAGCTGCACAGTGCGGTTACTACGATCAGATGATAGTCAATCTGAGGCGAAACGAAGAAAATATTGAAGACAAAGATGACTTCGGCCGTACACCGCTGATTCTGGCTGCAAGGGAGGGACATATGGACACTGCATGGTTACTTTTTAAATATGGGGCTAACATGGAAGCATTCGATCACTCGAACCATACTCCCTTGATGGCAGCTTCAGACCAGGGCCGAACGTCTATGGTAATCATGTTGGTGAGAAATAAAGCAGATGTCTTGGCGCGCGATATCGAGGGCAACACATCGATGTCTCTGGCTTCACGAAAAGGACACATTGAAACGGTGGAATGTTTGCGTGACGGCAATGTCCCAGTCGATACTCCCAACAATAATGGCGAGACGCCACTGATTCTGGCTGCTAAGGGAGGTCATACGGCTGTGGCCAGGGAACTACTCGACGCTGGTGCTGACGTCAACGCCAGTGACAACAAAGGCTTCACTCCGCTTATCACGGCTGCAGAACAGGGGCATGTAGAAACGGTGAAACTTCTGGTTGATCGCAAGGCTCAGCTTGACAGCACATCACTAGGTGCACCTGCAGCTCTGATAGAGGCCGCGAAAGAAGGCCATGAAGACGTGGTGGAAGTATTGCTGGAAGAAGGTGCTGCAATTGAAACTATGGATATTTCAGGGGTCACGGCGCTGGTTCATTCTGTGAGACGTAATCACGAAGCGGTAGTGGCGCTTGTTCTCCAGATAGGGGCCAATGCTGAGGCAGAAGACGAGAATGGCGAGGCTTGTTTGATGCTAGCCATAAAGAACAGCAACAAAGCTGTTATTGATCTACTCACACAGCACGGGGCCAAGAAAAGCTGGTTATATTACCGTGCTCGTATGTCTTTAGGCTACTGATATCATTTTCAGTGGTTTATCTACTTTACTGTGTGTGAGTTAGCATTAGTAATATCAAGCAATTATTTATATAAAAGGCGAATCGAGCATTTTGGTTTAGACATAGATAGAGATCTCATTTGCGGGAAATCTCAACAGATATCTCCATTTCCTTTTCAAGAGCCCTGGATGTGAACAAAGCCAGGGTGCGATCGTCGGGCTTGTATTGCAACACGCTGCCACTAGGTAGAACTTGGACCTCATACCCGTTCGGAAACGTAAAAGTAGGAAGAATAATCTCAGTCGGTGCATCGATGTCGGGGTCGCTTGTGAAGTTCAGCTTGAGTATACCCGAGGTCTCATCAAACCCAAAGGAAGTAGGTGTCCCCGCGATCGCAGCCGGATACGCACGGCTGTAGTGCTTCTCCAGCTCTGGATATGGCTTGCCAGATGTTCCGTCATACAGATTCTCGTACGCCCATCCAATCCAAGATACCATATTCGCATCAGTTGCTGCCATGGCTTCCGCTAGGCCAGCCATCTGCTTATCATCACCCATCCAGAACGTCAGCTCTGTGAGAACACCCGCAGTCTTGAGTCGAACATTGTCTTTTTGTCGATTGTAGAGTGTATCCTTCAGCGGGCCCAGCTGCGGGGGATTATAGTAGTGGAACGAGTGTACTGTCTTGGACCCGTCGCCGAGAGGCACGTTGTTAAAGCCTGACAGAACATCAAAAGTAGCGCCCTCGAACCAGATAAGTGTATCATTGTCAACGGTACGGATTTGTTTCGTTGCTCTGTTCCAAAGTCCCTCCATATTCTTGCGATCAGCAACTCCTGGTACGAGAAGTGTAGGATCGGCGTATGTGTCGCCAACCCAGGGTTCGTTGAGAAGATTGTATCCCACGACATTAGTAGTGTCGACATATTCTGACGCCAGCTTCTTCCAGTAAGCGGCGAAAGCGTCTCCCAGACCGTCGAAGTTATTGTAAAGTCTCCCAAAGGCATTTGCGACAGCCACGGACAAGTAGCTCAGTGACCAATCGATGGTATTGCATTGTGATTGAGGCGAAGGAAAGCCATCGGCGTCAGTGGTAAACGGCTTTAGTTTCTGAGGAAACGGGAATCTTCTGAAACCCGTGATCCAGTCCTTCTTGACGAACCACTGGGCAGATCTTAGTCGATGCAAGATAAAAAGGTTTATTGCTTACTCACATCAGGTACGCCATGGCCGCAAAGTTGCTTGGCCAGTACATCTTGGTGCACGTCCACCAGCACATAGATACCATGTTCTTCTGCCAGCTTTGTCTGCTTCTTCATAATATCCAAGAAGGTCTGATTGTACTCGCTGCGAACTGGCTCAGCGCCAGCCCAGCTATGACCAAGCCGAACAATATTGAGCCCCAAGTCGTGCATATTCTGAACATCTCGTTCGCCGAATGACGAGACACCCGGAGTCCACTCAAACGGCCTGTACCACGGTTCCTCTTTCATGACAACATTGGTTCCGTGAAAGAATCTGGTTCGTCCATACTCGTCAACTATCTGATGAGTATCTTGGTTCACATGCTTGATACGCGCCATATTTGGATAAGTCTTGTACCAGCCCCCTACGTCTTGGGCTGCTACTCTTGGGATCTCAGTGCATGATACGGCCAGAAGCCATATCGCTGTAGAGGCAGAAAGCATGCCGGTGGTGATTGGTTCGCCTGGATGTATGATCTGACAGGAAGACAACAAACGTAAGAAGTGAAATCTACCCTGAGCCAGGAAAGATTCATGAATAGATAATGGAAGCATGGATCTCGATTTATGAGCCAGATCTCTTGCATTTTGTTGTTATCTATTGCTTGGGTCTAGGCTAGCCGCATCAAGTAGGTATCACTTAACAGAACCAAATATTGCTACATGCAGGAGGGGAAAGCAACCCTTCTCCACATCCATATTGGCATTTGCTACCAAGTGCGCCCCAAAACCTGATCCGCGATACCAATTGGGGATGATTTAATGCCGAACTGAGGCGTGAATTGTTCCTCGTGAACACCTTCCCTAGTGTTGTGCCGAGGTTTAGCTATTTAGCCAACACGTGAGAGGGGAAACAGCGATGTCGAAGAATATTTGGGTTTCTATCCTACAAATTTAATTGGACTTCCTCTCAAGAACGGTGGTAGGTAGCCCAAAATGGGGGGAAATCATCAAGACCATTGCCTCGCTTGCTCGAGGTACTATCATCCAGCATTCATTACTACCGTCTACCACTACAGATGGACATCAATGTCTTCCAACTTTCCTAGCGAGGCAGGATGAAATTCGACTATCCTCCTCCAATGAGTGGATTGCTTGCTATATGCTCTGTTTATTACTCGTGGGAAGTATCCAATCCAACAAGCTTCTCCGACAGCTCCCAGAGCTTTCGTTCAGCTTCCTCATCATAGATCCACGCAGCATGTCCCAATTCAGGCGAAGTCGGCTCTACACCAGGCCTCACCAGTTTCTCCTCCACAAAATCAGCCAAATACTTCCCACCACGACCCTCCCAGTCCTTACTAATTGCCGCATAAACAGTCGTAGCAGCACCGTGAGCCTTATTCCTCAAAGCATTCTTGATAGGACCATCCAAGTCAATCGTGCTTAGGTCAACATACTTACCCAAGTTGGTGAGTATATATCCAGGATGCACTGATAAGCCATGGATACCTTGGCCTGCATATCGCCTGTCAATCTCAGACGCGAAGTAGATGTTCGCAGTTTTGGATTGAGCATATGCAAGCCAAGGATTATAAACCTCCTTCTCGAAGTTATAGTCATCCCAGCGTATACCACCAGCTCGGTGACCCTTTGACGCAACGGAGATAACACGAGATTGTAACGAAAGCGTGGAAGCGGCCAGAAGAGCTGGCTTGAGAAGTTGGAACAGAAGAAAGTGTCCGAGATGGTTTGTTCCAAATTGGGTCTCGAAACCATCTTCGGTTCTATCCTCAGGAGTGGCCATGACCCCTGCGTTGAGGATGAGAATGTTCAGCTTGTCGACCTTGGAAAGAAAGTCCTTGGCAGCGGCTCGTACGGATTTGAACGAGTCAAGCCTCAGTTCGATTCCGTGGACAGGTGCCTCCGATTTCGCTTCCGGCCACGACACGATGTCGTTAATGCCCTGCTCGATCTTTTCGGGAGATCTTGCGGTGATGTAAACCGTTGCTCCGGTTGCGTGGAGGGCTCGGGCGGTTTCGAGGCCGATGCCTTGATTACCGCCTGTGATGAGGACAACTTTGTCGGTGAGTCTGTTGAGAAGGCCTTCATCCTTGACGATCTGGAGTGCTGTAGGTCTTGCGTCACCAGGACCCCGGAGGTTGACATGAGCTTCAGCGTAACGAGACATGGCGGAGGTTTGCGATGAATATTTGATAAACTCTTGAAGATGAGATGAGTCTGTTTTCCAGAGAGTCTGCATGCATTCTTCTTTCGACCTTATATCGTTCTTGGCCCTCCAATTATCCTCTGGTCAATCATGGTGCCAGCGTTAGTCCTGGCTTGGTCATCGGGCTCCACCTGTCGGCAGTGAATTTGGGCGGGTTCAGGGTATGTACAGAGCAGCTCAAACTTTATCGTCAGTCAGAGCCACGATTGGAACTGCAAACTGCTGTACGGTAATAGAGTACTATCGGATTTCAAGGAGTCTAGTTTGGAGTTTGTGGATCTGCAATTGGCTGGATGATGTGAGCCATTTGGCTTACCCGATAATTCCGAACTTTATTGACGCGACTGCCCTTGCTTGAGCGCTCGCATGGCTGATATCAGCCTCTATGAGATGCTTAAAAATCAAGGAGAAATGGACAAGGCATCAAAGGCAGTAGTCTTGTTGCGGAGCTAATGTAATCAGCCGAAAAAGCCTGTCATATCCAATTGGAAATCACGCCATCGCAACGGCATCATACTCCGACAACAGTACTGCAAATGACAAACACTGTATTATTATGGTATCTCAGTTGCCGTACTTGGCAAATTGTACTTCAGAAGACGCCGACGATGCACTCCCTCTCGGCACATGCCGCAGATCACTAGATCCTTCTCCTTCCAGGCTACCTCGATCATGTACACCATGACCCAGATACCGTTCACTATGGACTGATATCTCGGTCGTCTTGACCAGACTCGACTCATTACCGAATACACGATGAGACTCTTCACCCTTACCGACCCGAACCTCGTACTCTCCTGTAATTGTTCCCTGAGGCCCGGTATGCTTCCGCCGGTCGCGATTCAACGTCTCCAATCCAACATCGTCGTGATGAGTAGCATTATGACTGCGGCCATAGGAGCTCTCGTTCCTTCCGCGGGTCAGTTCGACGAGACGGTTGAGGATGCTAAACTCGAGCTTGAGCTTGACGCTGTATACGAGTGGCTTCCACGCGGTCTGGATGTCGAACAGGTTCGCGAATTCGAGGGCGAGGATGGAGACGTCGAGGAGGATGACGAGAACGTTGACGATGAGGAGGTGGTTGAGTACCATGCGTGTCTTGGTGTTGCCGACGCTCTTCTCTAGTCTGAGACGCTTGCTTGTCTCCCAGACATAGAGACCCGAGATGATGAGCTCTTGAACAAAGAAGACGCTAAGCTGGATCTTCTCAAAGACCTCATATGGTTTCTGGAAGGGCTCCGGGTTCGGCGATCCGACACCATAAACAAGGATGATTATAGGGAGATGCAACCAAGTCGCATTGAAGATGATCATATACAAAACCATCCTCAACCTCTTCTGGTTATGCATAACAATATGTAACCTCGAGTACAAAACAACAGACTGTCCCGTGATCATAGTGCACCACCCAATAAGTATAAGCGTCGAGTAAAGGTACGTCTGCGCCGAGAGCGACAGGTGCAGGATGAGGTATCCCGTTCCATTGAAGGCAATGCCCCAAGTGGCGATGACTAAACTCCAGAAGTAGAGGCCGCTGCGCTTCTTGAAGCTGCCGAAGATGTAGGCGTTGAGCTCGAGGACATTGTAGAAGGCGATGCTGATGAAGACGCAGATCACGATTGCGACGGCGCCGTTTTTGGTGTTGTCGGCCATGTCATTTCGGTGCCGTGATGGGACGGGGATAGAAGATCGATCGGCAGACGGGGGGAGAAAATGAATGGAAGCGATGCGTTGCTTCAGCAGTAATTGGGTTGCAAAAATGACAGAACCAACAGCAATTTGTTGGCTGCAAAGGTCTTAAGTAAAAGGCTCAACACCATCTTTTCTCAATGCCCTTCTTGTCTCCCTCCAGTGGCGGTCTCACCATCAAGTTTCCTCCTTCCATATCACGCAACTGATGAGTTCCATGCTAAGCTCATTTGGTGGCTGGATCTTTTGCTCTGATAAAGTTCAAGGTTTGGCAGTTTTGGCTAATCAAACTCAAACTCTATTTTTCTGCATGTTGGTTGCATCCCTGCCTCAGCTTTGAAGGGTGCATATGGGCTGATACGACAGTTGTACTGTGATCGTCAAGCTTGCTACTCCATCAGAGAAAAGGAAAGTGAAATACCAAGGGTATCGATACCAATGCAATGGTAAAGATGAGATGAAATCCGGAGATCTGACATCGTTGGTTCTTCAAAGTGAAAAGATCGCCAATTCGCGCAGCATCATTTCGGAAAGTTCCTTCGCCATATGCCGCCCAAGTGCGTCACACCAGAAATTCACACCTACTCAATTGAGCAAGTCGTAACATTCACAGCAGGGACCTATCCAAGCGCAAGCCACAATCTCAGCTGGTGTAGAAAAGACCTCCAATCGCGATGCTCTCCCCTACACTCGTGTCCGTTATTCAGCGGCAGTTTCGGTCGGCGATTAATAACAACAATCCTTAATTGTTGAGAAATGTGCCGCTGCCAAGGAACTGGAACCACATTATGTAGTTGTGGCGTGGCTGCAGGTTATAGGAGGTTACGTTGATGTTGGTCGTTGGTTCAGTTAGACATTGATTTCAAGGCCCCTGTAAGCAGGGTTCATACCGATTCTTCCAGGGCACTTCCCTTCCATTCTCCCGATCAGCCCTGTCCGGAAGACGTGCCCAGATCCGCGAGTCAGTCTAGAACTCACTCAATCGTAAGTTCTTCCTCCCCTGCTCTACGGACCAACAGGTCACATCTGGCTTTTCTCTCTCTTCCCTCCCAAACTCTAAACATGCTAATTTCCCCACATTCTACTACCTCAATCCCCAGTGCCGAAGCGCTGATTGACCCGCGTAAGACGGCGACCCACGCTAGCTTAAGCTTAACGCTGCAGATCTTGCACGTTCTTGGAGTACAACGCCGAGACAACCCTCGTTAATGCCTCGTCGCTGTCATTTCAGGCGGAGATGATGAGTTCGCAGCGACTGGTTCATTGCGCATATTAAAAGTGTCTCACGCAGCTCCATCCATTGTCTGTCACACCAAGCATTCATTCGTCATGCCTTCTACCATTTCTGTACTTGCTGCGGGGGTTCTCGTGCCCGTTTTGGGCGCCGTGGCTGCTAAGCTTCCTTCTACGGCTCAGATTATCGACCAGAAGTCGTTCAATGTCTTGAAGGATGTGCCGCCTCCCGCAGTGGCCAATGACTCTCTGGTATGTCACTGCAGCCTCTTTGCTGATTTTCACTAACGATTATGAGTAGGTGTTTACTTGGCCCGGTGTAACTGAGGAGTCTCTGGTCGAGAAGCCTTTCCATGTCTACGACGAAGAGTTTTACGACGTCATTGGCAAGGACCCCTCACTGACCCTCATCGCGACATCGGATACCGACCCAATCTTCCACGAGGCTGTTGTCTGGTATCCTCCTACCGAAGAGGTCTTTTTTGTCCAGAATGCAGGCGCTCCTGCTGCTGGCACTGGATTGAACAAGTCTTCCATCATTCAGAAGATTTCCCTCAAGGAGGCCGACGAGGTCCGCAAGGGCAAGAAGGATGAGGTCAAGGTCACCGTCGTTGACTCAAACCCTCAGGTCATCAACCCCAATGGTATGTTGAGCTGGCGATAGGTATTGAATAGCGACTAACTCTCTGCCTTAGGTGGTACTTACTACAAGGGCAACATCATCTTCGCTGGTGAGGGCCAAGGTGACGATGTTCCCTCCGCCCTATACCTGATGAACCCTCTCCCTCCCTACAACACTACCAGTAAGTCACATACACGCTCACAAAACGATGTTCAAACCTGACTGTAACAAGCCCTCCTTAACAACTACTTCGGTCGCCAGTTCAACTCCCTCAACGATGTTGGCATCAACCCCAGGAACGGTGACTTGTACTTCACCGACACCCTCTACGGATATCTCCAAGACTTCCGCCCTGTTCCTGGTCTGCGAAACCAAGTCTATCGTTACAACTTTGACACCGGCGCCGTCACTGTTGTCGCTGATGACTTTACCCTCCCCAACGGTATGTCTCCATCAAATGGCAGAGCACACGCGACTAATACTGCTTAGGTATTGGCTTTGGCCCCGACGGCAAGAAGGTCTATGTCACCGACACTGGTATCGCTCTCGGTTTCTACGGCCGCAACCTCTCTTCGCCCGCCTCCGTTTACTCCTTCGACGTGAACCAGGACGGTACACTCCAGAACCGCAAGACCTTTGCTTACGTCGCATCTTTCATCCCCGATGGTTAGTCTCCCCGACATGGCTGCAATGTCATCTACTAACCCCTTCAGGTGTTCATACCGATTCCAAGGGCCGTGTTTATGCCGGTTGCGGCGACGGTGTCCATGTCTGGAACCCTTCTGGTAAACTCATCGGCAAAATCTACACTGGAACCGTTGCTGCCAACTTCCAGTTTGCCGGCAAGGGAAGAATGATCATTACTGGACAGACCAAGTTATTCTACGTCACCCTTGGAGCATCAGGCCCCAAACTGTATGACTAGAGTAGTTCTACGCTTGATAGACACGTTGATAATATAATATACCATTCAAGCCGATGCAATTGCATGTGAGTCGTGTTAAGCAAATGACCTCTTTCGCTATTCACGGAGTTTATCTTGTCTGGCTGGGCGAGAAGTTACCAGGCCCGCTTGATTGTCTTTTGCCTGTAAGAATGGCTCCGACGAATGTCTCGGCCCAATGCAGCGACAAGTTCACTCAGTTGCATGGTCGATCCATCGCCGACTGAGCTTGTATCTTTTGATCAATATGCGGCTTCGTGAGCCGGTGTGATGGAGATAGTGTAAGGAAAGAAGGGAGTGGTCACTAAGATGAGTATTTGTGCATGTTGAAGCATGCGACCAGGTGCGGCAACTGGGCCGAAACAGAGTTCACTAATCTGGCTAAACTCATACAAGCGCCATAGCCATTTGGCGATTCTCCCTGAAAGAATTACGATGACCAGATTCGGGAATAGATCGGAACCTAACCTCAAGTTTTGTTTTGGTATGCTCTACATCACCGGTTCAAAGAGTATCTAGTCATTCCCCAGCCAACATAGCGCAGGGTATTGACCCTGCGGCTTTCACAAGAAAGCCAATTGATCAATCTCAAGATAAATATGTCTACTACATCAAATACACTCATAACATCAATGACGAGCGTGTTTCCATGGTCTAGATAATGCACTACCTGGACAAATGTCGCAACTCAGTACACTAACAGCTAGTGAAATAAGAACTAAACAATCCAGCTCGAGTGTTTTCAACTCGTATCGCACTCTCTATCTACAAGAGATCCGAAATATTGGTGCCAGCGTCTTGGGCATTGTTAGCCCATTTGCCAGGAGTAGTCTGTTCAAGGGATCAGAAGATTAATCCTGACTAGAGTAGAGGTGTCTACTGCTTGACAAACCCCGATTTTCTATTTATCAGGCTTGTTGGGGTTGAATGAAACGCCGAAGCCGGCCTCTTCGATGGGTATCTCTTCAGTATCCACGTTCCCACTGACAGTCCGAACTCCTACCAGCTCTAGCAGATACTTGGAGGTTTCTCTGGCATTCTTCCCAAGAAAGGTACCCCCTCTACCCTCGACAGAACTTGTCGACTCACCATTCTCGTAGCCAGAAAGATAACAACAAGAGATGATAGCACTTAGTTAATTAGACCATTGGAGCCTCGGATAGCGAGCAAAGTCTCTTAAGGTTTAGATTGTGCTTCATGTTGCACGCGAGTCTGTGGCCCTATTCTATGAAAAGCTCTCTTTTACAAAGGACAAAGCCAGAAGCGATACGCATAAAAAGCTACGACGTCCTCTCTCAACAGCACTACTATCTAGGTCAAGCCACCAAATATTGCCTCGCATCTATACAGTGGCCTAGCTGATATGGTAGTACTATAAGAAGCCGTCAAAAGCCGACGACGGTGCCCATGGGGCTATTGAAGGATCCTGCGATGGCCCTACCCCTGACGCGACACGCTGATCGAAGTACCTCGGCAGTGTAGGTGTGAAAGATACGGTAGTACATAATTATTCAGCAAGTTGTGATACATCCTTAGCATAAGCAGCTCTTGTATTTCCAGCAGGATCCAGTAGCTGAGAAAAAGGACAAGAGATGTCAGCGTCTGCCCATCAATCTCAATCGAATGATTCCGAAACATGGGAGAGCCAATAAACATAGTTTAATTGCATCTCAATATTATGGCAAACCGCTAAAGTTAGCAGAGGGATCACAGAAATCGGAGTCAAGGTCATACATCGGGATACAGCTTTACACGAAACTCTGGCCTAAGATAAGCTCTACCTATTGTCTAACATGATTCCAGACATATGCAGAAGCATCGCTAATTAACGGTGAGAAAACTTAAAAGATTGGATGAGTCAATCCTAGGACTTTCCACAGCAGTCAGGTTCAGAAGAGCTCTTAGTGCTATGCGGTGTGAGATAGTCGGGTAGAACGACCATTAACATGGCTATCCACGTCATTGACAACGGAAACTTTGTCATCTTTCCACTTCTTCTAATTCCTTGCATTGGGAGTATTATGACTTAACTAGATGATTATGTATTCTCTGGTGATTGCCTAAATTCCCCAAAGCCAACTTATTGACGTTCGTTCATAAACGCGTACCCAAGGCAGTAATTCCCAACGTTTGGTTTAGTAGAAAAAGAATACCTATGCTACTAAGATGCCTTGAGCGGGTTATAAGATCACTTTTGTAGATGAGCATTTCTCCACGACCATCATGAACACAAACAGTGTCTATTTGAAGAAAGGTTCATTCCTTTGCCACCATCATTGCCGCAGTTCTAGCCTGGTGGGTAAGTATTCCTTTATCAAGACATGGTTCATCTCTAGGACATCAATAGAACTGTCGACTCCCTGCCTTGAGCTGCCTAGTCAGCCTTTTAGTCGGGCCAGTAAGGCCTAACCGTTGCGCGACAAGCCCCCGCGGATAGTTGTATGATAGTCACTCTGGTCTTCTATCAAGAGAGTACTAATGAGTTCCATCGAATCTGTAGGCATTTGAGAACTAGGCACTCCACTTTGAGTGACTCTATGAAAAGCGAGACCCTCGGAAGAGTCAAGTGCATAACTGTAACTAGAATATAGTCCATGACCTTCTTCTCGATTACAGCTCTGGCAACCGAAACAAGATTCTTTCTAGATTATAAAGAATCTAGCGGCAGCAGGAGATCAAGGCCTTAAATAGCCTGACCATTTAACCTGTGTTTGTATCACTCCACGGCGAAGGCCAGGTCGAGGATAGACTAGAGATACATGATTTGAGCAAGCCAAGTCAGATTTTCCAGTTTTCGTCTCGATCCTGAACATCCACTCTGGCGAATCATCTTGACGTATATTCGCAAAGACCTTGCCACCCGCCAAGTCTCTGCTACAGTATCATTATCGGTTCGGGGCCTTGGATAACACATTTGAGACGCCCGACCCTTATTTTGCCTCCATACGCCATGGCAAGGGTGCTTCATGTGTTCGAGACATGTGGTGACAACAGTACGTCGGGATCTTTTATCAGGTCGTAAACTAACAGTCTGGTATAGAGAATCCAACAGAAACCTTGGGAGACACTTTTTTAGAATATTTCCAAAAGGTTACGAAATCACCTCTTACGCAATTCGCAAGATCAGGCAATTCGAAGCCAAACCCCAAACCCAAGACTCTTGTGGACGCCAACATCTCTGAAAAACATTGCTTATAGTGTTTCTGCTTTTCTGCGTCCTATTGATTAGTATTCCTAGGCATAGTTCTGGTTTCATACTGAAGATGTGGCGTACCTGTCTAGAGAGGTCAGAAATGTTAAAGACTTTTGTCATAACTTCAAACCCCCGTACACATTTGTTTACTTCATACGAGGAGATGACTGGAGTCTCTTTAGTGACTATACTGAAGCAGAATCCCTCAGATATTCTATGATTATATGATGATCTCTACTAGTAGAGACCATGAGACCGCACATAACTAGCGAATCGGGTTTTCGGGTATTAACACAAACCGAAATATCCCGTATTTTGTCAATAAAGAGCCAGGGATACGTAACCTATAAAGACACACAGTTGAGGATCGTATAGGTGAAACACTAGCTGCATGACAATCAAAACCTTAAATAGTTTGACAGGAATTACATCTACACGGCAATTCTCAACTTGTCCCTATAATCAGGAGGGAGTAGCTAAAAACAACTCTCACTTATACTTGCTCAAGCCTGATCGTATCATGATAACCATGTAGCTGAATACCATAACCATAGTTTCAGCGTGGTAAATACTTCCAGAATAGCAGCCACGAGACATTTTCGAGGCGGTCTGATGCGTCTTCGGCTATGTTTGCCGGCAAAATACTGATCCTCTCCACATCAGTGAGTCGGTGTGATGTCGTACCCCATGCCAGGAACAAACCTTATTGACTGTCCTTAATAAATCCGGAATTATGCCATGACTACGGAGTACTGTGCCTACCTTGCTGTGTGATCCACATCACCCACTTGATATTCCCCGTTTGTCTGTGAACTTGGCCAATAATAAGCACTGCAGACAGAAATGATAGAAATCCGAAAGCTTAACATCCACTACAGCCTAAACTCATGACTTGCAAGGGACTAAAGTGGATACTCCAATAGAAGGTCTTCGTGTTGACGACGTTGCATGTTGGTGGGTGATTTAAGCTTTCTGAAGGCTCTTAGTTATCCATTTGTATCTGCCGATAAATTGCTGGTCAAATTAGAGAATTTAAGTTTAATAATACTATTAGCCCCATTTGAGATGCTACTTTGGATAACTATAAAAGAGTATTCCAGTCAACTTACTGCTACTAAATCTTTGTTTCAGACTTAATCTCATAGCCTTCAATTACTCCAATTTGTTTCATATATCACCTACACAATGAAGCTGATCCTTCTTCTCTCCCTTCCAGTAGTTCTGGCTGCGGTGAGTGATTATATTCTGAGAGGTGAGACCTGTCTAATATTAGTAGAATTGCTGGCCTGCCGCTCCGAATGCCGGCGATCATGGTCGCTGCTACTGGGGTACAGCCGACTTTGCTTCTTGCACTTCAGTATGTATTTTTACCCCCGCCCAACGGTCTTTGCTAATATTGTTTTCTTATAGAGCGCACCGTGCACTGGCAATAATAACCAATGCACAGTTATTGGGGGCGGACTTGCAAGCTGCACATAAGGGGTTCATGGAACACTGGCGAACTAATCTCTGATATCAAACTGGTAGCCTGTTATAATAATATTAAATGGATTACCATCCCTTCGCTTATCTTTCAAAAGTACAGCTTGGTCACTGTCTCATGTCCAAATACACATCGCTCACATCTCATGTCTCGATGTCGTCGCATCCAGTTCAATAGGAGGATACTGCGGTGGCGGCGATCCATAAGTCAAAACTGATCCCGCATTCTTCGTATCCTCCTTCGTCTCCAGCTCCGCAGCCGGCGGTGTAGCCCTCTTTCTTCTTCTCCAAAGATAAAACGCGGCTCCAATAATCAGCAGCCCGGCTACTCCAACCCCAGCACCTATACCAGCTTTAGCACCCGTCGATAGTCCTCCGCTAGAGGAATTGTTTGAGAATGATTCACTTGAACCAGTCTCTACTGGAGCGGATACTGTTTTTGTAGATCTTGTTGACCCAGATGACAAGGAGAGATCTTTTTCGCGATAATTGAGCTGGATCATTGGTGCGAAGATGGTTATCCCATCGAGAGACACTGTGCTGGTTTCGTCTGTCACTGTCGCTGGGAGGGTGAGCCAGTTGAGAACAGTCTTTTGCTTCGAGCATGAGGCGACTTGTAATGATCCCCTGGAAGCGATTGTTGTGCATGTTTGTGGACCGCCGGGTTGCGCGCATGTATATCCGCTACTACCGTCAGTTCCAAAGCCGAAGAGCAGTCGTCAGACATTCTTACGATGGACAGCATCCTATCACCCTCTCATCATCTTGTATCGAGAACTGAAAATTAAAGTTTCCAGTCTGAGGACCCGTCGCGGTACACGCTGTTTCGTAGCCTTGTGGGCACTCGAACGCGGGAGAGTAGAAGCCCCAGCCATTCACGGCATTTTCGGCGGCGAATGACGATTGTCGCGGTGGCCAACAGTCTGTATCGTCGAGCACTCCTTGCTACGGGGTTCTGTCAGATTGAGTTCGACGCATCAAGGAAATATCCACCTACCGTGTTGTCCTGATTATTCCCGCACGTCTGGCCTTGCCAGGCATTCGTGCATGTCGAGCAATCGGTGACTGGCACCGTACATCGATCAGGGTACTTCCACTCTGTTGTGAAAGGGCCCAAGTTCGTTCGTGCGCTCGGCATGGCGGTCGTCGTATACGATGTGTTTTTGGGAGGATAAAAGAACGTGAGGAGATCTTCAGGGCAAGAAATGGCGAAAGAAGGGTAAAAGAATTGACCAAGGAGCGAAATCACAACGGGTCAGCCCATCCGTCACCCCTGTTAATTCCGTCTGACTGCATCACACCTACTTCCTACTGCAGGCTTACTTGCGTCCATCTCATCAGCGGTATGGCCAATAAACAGCATTGTTTCTCATTTCAAGCTTTTCTGTCTAGCAACAACCAACGAAACCTGTCATCACCACAGGGATTGTGAGGCCGTTGCCGTTCTGGGGAAATTATGGCCCCCAAATGCCGAAAGGATTCAGACAACCTTGCAGATACGGTACCACATGGCTGAGTTATGTTGGCTATGTTTTTCCGCCTTCACCGGGATTTTGTCAGAGGGCCAATCGCAACAGCGCCTCATCTCACCATCCCTGACTTGTACGTCTCACTGGGCTGATTCGAGGGCTATGCCAGATCCTTCGGTCATTCTTGCAGCATCTGATATTAGGTGAGCTCCATTCAAGTCTCGACTAAATCTATCGAAGGAAGAGGCTTATCAGTAACCATCAATATTTTTTTTCGAGACACCCTCTTGCGCTTTTCGCTGGAATCAACTCAAATTCGCCAAGACTCGATCTGAGATACCTTGGCAATGGAAAAGTGCGACAAGTCTGCAGGTCATCCAATATTTGATATATTGACCGTGATAGTATGTGAACTATCAGAAGATCGCTGAAGAGTCCCAAGAGATATATGAAGACGATGTGCGGTATCACTCGAAGGAAGGCTGATTTCCTGCGGTCGACCCTCATCCCGACTGAGGACGTAGTAGCGCAGTTTATGTAGGTAGTATTCCTCTCCGTACGAACTGTAGTATCCATCGACGCAGCCCATTATATCTGGATATTCTTCATCCGTGGAGTTGTAGATACTCATCCATGGTTGCAGATCCCCAGACCACGCATTCATTTCCAAGCCGCATACTACATAGATCCGATAGACAAAGGTCTTGGCATTATCGGCCAGCTGAAAGTTGAGAAAGCCTGTAAACTGTGCGCTGCTGTCTGTGACGAACTCCTGACGCAGAGTATCCCATAGATCCGCTGGCTTTGCTGCAAAGGAGACGAGCTTAAATCCAGGGCAGATATTGAACTGCGACGCTATATTCATTTCGAGACGCCTTGCCAAGTCAATAGAACCAAAGGGCGTGACGTGCTTCCGAATAAAGATCTTCTGACGTGGGCCGGCCCATAATAGAGAATCATGTGTTTCAAAGAGTTCATGCGGTCGGCTACGGACAAAGCCATCAGCCGTCTTTGTGAGGTAAACTCCAACCTTTCGTCTTCCATAGCCGCCATGCGGTATTTCGCACGCGAGGTTAAGGACGTATTTCTTATTCCCGCTCTCGCCAAGAAACGTCTCCAGTCTAAGGCCCTTGTTCGTCATGCTATATTCGTGCCCGTATCTCATTGTTGAAGTGCGGCTGAGATTCTTGCAGTGTACGAACTCGGAGGGTGATGAAGCGAGGATACCGCGAAATCCCTGCTGTCGAACTTCCCGTAGGGGTCTCCCTATGGATAAATTGGCTCTCCATGCAAAGATGGAGAGGTCGGTTGTTTCTTTAATGATTTCCTCTTGAAGTCTGCCAAAGGCCTTGGTCCCTTCTCCATAGAGCATTGGCATATTGACACCGAAGATCCCGAGAAGGCAGTATGCTAGATCCTCTACTCTTGTGGTCTCTCGGTCCGCCGCCCATGACATGCGCTTCGCAACTGGTATGTTCTCCAGGATAGCGTTGTCTTCTAGAACTGCAATGTCGATACCGGTGATGCCCGAGATTCTGCCTCGCAACTGTGTTTTGGTTCCCCGGTAATTCCACGCACTGTCGTAAAACTCAAGATTTCGTGAAGCAATCAGTTCCTGCAGTGTCCATCCTCTAGTAAACCATCGACAATACGACAAACCAGAAATCTGGTCATCCTGTTGACCGCGATGAATTTCCAAATCTTCGAGGTGAGCAAAGCAAACTTCTGACAGCTTGTACCAGTTAAACATAGAGTTGATTGCTTCAGCCAGCTCTGCGCTGCTCCTCTTGTCAACACAGCAAGTGTCGACCCATGCGTATGCGATGCCTCTCTCTTTCGCCAATCTGCAAGTATGTATGATCTTGACATAGCCTTTCTTTCCCCTTTCCTGGCCCGTCATCATGTCTTCGAATGTGACTTCATCGTCGCCCCAGGTATGCGACAGAATGGCATAGGGAGCTGATGATACGTTCTTGAGCTCTAGAGCAATTGTCGTTGTGTTGATGAGCCACATGATTGGCCTTGGCGCAAACTGGAATATTCTCAAAGCCGCAAACCCTTATTTGGCTGTACTTCAGGCTCGAGTTTCTCGCTTGGTAAATGATAACGACAGCTTTGTATCAGGTTGACCTCAGAAGCGGGGCTGGATTCAGCTGACAGCTGAGGTATTTCAGGTCATCGGGAAATAGTCGGCATGATGATGACCAAACAGCAGGCCATGCACCAGCATCAAGCCGCTCTGAAAGATTTCGACCAAGTATATGAGATATTTCGAAGAAACCTGACGGTTGCAAACCATCAAGGTCAATGATGCAGGGTAGTATTGCCGAGTCAGGCGACTTACATTAAATTTAGCACTGATCGACGCAACCTTTATCTCATCTCCAGAGAAGGAAAACAGCAACCATCCAATGAAAAACTCATCCCTTAGCAGATACCAAACAATCCCAGACTCTGACTCAGATTCTCTAAGATTACCAAGCTTCGTGGAGGATTGCCTACAATGGCAATTCATAGCGATATCTCTAGTCTCCAGACTTTGCCGCTTTCCAGGCTAGCGCAGCCATCAACTCTCCTAGCCGAGATGCCTTCATTGGCTCCGTTGAATTAATATGAGGTAACAAGATCGATTCTATGGGTCCGGAATTAGGAAGAATTTTCGGCGGAGAACCAAAACATGAAGTCATAAGAAGCGTTCCCCAGACTCCCCATCTCTTGGCTGGTCACTTGGCATTTCTAAATCTGCAAATATTCTAAGCCAAGAGATCGTGCCAAGGAGTTTGAACCACTTGGCGAAGCAATATGTTTGCTGAAACGCAGAGGTCTGAGGTTGCTCGGAGCAATGAGTCGTCAGGTATGTTGCATTGCGAGGGACCGTCAGAGGTGAAGTGCTGATTGAGATAGAGCAACCGATAATTGTCCAATGGAACGGGCCTAACGATCCAGAAAACCCGTACAATTGGTCCCGCAAGAAGAAATGGTTCGCCGTTGGTCTTGGACTCTTCGCGACGTTCATCTCAATGATGAACGGCACAATCATCACTACAGCACACGAAGCAATTGGCGAAGACTTCAATGTCAGTGATGAGAACTTTCCACACTCGTATTGGCCCGTGGCATCATGGGGCCTCGGTGGCGCGCTCTTCTCACTGGTTTTGCTTCCGATCATGGAAGACTTCGGGATGAGACTTGTATTTCTCCTGGTATACACCGTCTTCCTCTGCTTTCTCATTCCCGTTGGAGTGGCGCCTAACTACGCGACTTTGATCATCACTCGCTTCTTCAGCGGTGGATGCTGCACTATTCTTGCGAATGCAGTAGCCGGCATCATTGGCAACGTCTTCGCCACCGATCGAGCTCGAACAATCCCCACTGGGTTGTATATCATGATCTACCTAAACGCCAGCAGTCTCGGGCCCGTCATTGGTGCCGCTATCTTTCAGTTTCTGCCATGGCGATGGATTGGCTACATCGAACTCATCTGGACGGGCGTTTTCTTCCCAATATTCATACTGGCTATGCCTGAGACACGAGGCTCAGCGATCTTGACCGCAAGGGCGAAGAAGTTGAGAAAGCAGGGGAAGAATGCGTACAGTCAAAAGGAACTTGAGTCAAAGTCGATTCTTCACGATATCTGGACGAGCATTCAGCGGCCACTTTACATGCTCTGCACCGAGTCTGTGGTTTTCATCTCAACCATATGGACTGCCTTCAGTTTAGGAGTCATCTACGTTTTCACGCAATCTGTTGAACAGGTCTTTACTGCACTGTACGGATGGAACGCCATTGAAGCGGGCTACGTTCAAGCCGCCATCGTCATCGGAGAGATTCTCGGCTTTGGTCTCTGTGTCCTGACGAACAACTGGTATTACGCCTCTGCCTCACGCAACAAAGAAGCCCCCGGTACACCCATCCCCGAAGCTCGACTCTACGCCGCCGTAATCGGAGGTTTCATCGGCGTCACAGGTGGAATGTTCGTCTACGCCTGGACAAGCTACTCCTCAGTGCATTGGATCGGACCTGCGATGGGACTGATGCTCGTTGGACTTGGCACCGAGGCTGTTGTCGTTAGTATCGCGAACTATCTGATCGATGCTTATAGCAACTATGCCGGAAGTGCTATCGGAGCTACTGTGTTGGGCGAGAACTTGGGCGTCGCGTTTTTGCCGCTTGCTTCGAGCAGTATGTATACGAATTTGGGCTTCCACTGGGCTAGTTCGCTGTTGGGCTTCATCTCGTTGGTGCTGGCGGCGGCGCCTATTGGGGTGTTCATCTGGGGGAAGGAGATTAGGGCGAGGAGTCCGTTTATGAAGTCTGCGATGTCGAAGCCTATGGAGTTTGCGATCTCGCCCTCGGAGTGAGGGAAGCGAAATTGAACAACGCACGATAAGTAAATACAAATTGAGTGAGACAATGTTATCGCATGAGCCAATATGACAGAAGCACCGCAAGGATTCAGTGAACGTGGATGGTATAAAATCGTGAATCTCTTTGACCTGCCGATTTCAGCAGCATTGCTCCTTTGTCTCGGATCAGTCGGGTCCTTTTGCCCTTGGCCCTAAATCCTTCTCACGTTGAGTCATCCGACCCCAACATTTGCAAGGTTTAAGCAAGCCACTTTCTCTCACATTGGCTCGTTTGGTGATGGGCGTAACGCCGCTAATTTGCCGATCTGATAAGTAGGATCTGATAACCAGACATCATGACCGATAGCTCCGCTACCTCCGTAAGCACACCATTGTAGGGGGAATTGATCTCCGACCGTGAACTTTGCGTGTCATGCGGGGTATAAATATCTTCCTGTTGGTAGCTCATCTTCAATTGAGCGTGCTAATTTGTGCTATTTTTCTTGATACAATATGACTACCGACGTGAAAGAACCCGTTCTCGACACTGAGCTTGGTGTACTTAACAGTACTCGAGCAAATCCATACCTCGTCGCTTTCAATGAACTCGACAGCGATAACCCCAAGAACTGGCCCGAAAAGCGAAAATGGGCGGTCACAAACGTTCTTTCCATAACAGGCTTCAACCGCATCCTCGTGTCAACAGTAATGGCCCCCGCGCTCTCCGTCATCGCAAAAGACCTCAACATGACAGCTACTCAATCCGTCATGGCACTGAGTATCTACCTTTTGGCAACGGCTTTTGGTCCTCTTGTTATTGGACCCTTGTCTGAAGTCTACGGACGCAGGACTATTCTTCACGTATCTAATATCTGGTTCCTCGTTTGGAATCTCGCGTGCGGGTTCGCAAACTCGAAGGAGATGCTTATCGGCACTCGCTTCCTCGCTGGCTTTGGCGCAAGTGCTGTTTATGCCCTCGGTGGCGGTGTCTTAGGCGATATATGGCGCCCTGACCAGCGTGGTAAGTCTCTTGGATGGTATTCTGTCATTCCTCTCATCGGTGCTGCAACCGGTAAGTCCAAACCTCATTCCTTGAGGGTCACATCACTAACCTTTACAAAAGGTCCCATCATTGGCGGTTTCATGACTGACAGAGTTTCATGGCGATGGATGTTCTGGTCCACGTCCATGTTCCAAGTCGCAATGGCTGCTATCTCGTTTACAACCTTCCGCGAGACATACGCCCCTGCAATTCTCAAGAAGCGGGCTAAGAAATTGCGCAAAGAGACGGGTCAGCCATATTATACCTACGAAGAACGAACACAGGAGGGGCATACTTTGAGAAAGGTCCTCACTCAAGCCATGACCCGTCCCCTTCGCCTTCTAGTATTCCATCCCATCATCCAAGTCGCAGCTGTCATCTCTGCTGTGGGCTATGGTCTTTTATACATCGTCCTCTCAAGCTTCGCAGAGATTTGGACGAGTCATTACGAACAATCTGTTGAGATAAGTGGTCTGCACTACATCTCGTGTGCATTAGGTGAACTAGCAGCATCACAAGTCGGTGCGCCATTGATGGACTACTGGTTTCGCAGAACCGAGCGCCGCAACGGCCAGCATTTACCAGAGAACAGAGTACCACTAATGGCAATGGGCGCATTCATCGCGCCAGTTGGGTTTATCGTCTATGGTTGGTGCGCTGAGTTCAAAGTTCACTGGGCATGGGTCGATGTAGCCATGTTCATCACCTGTTTTGGTATGCAGATCTCTGGCATGCCGCTACAAGCGTACCTGATCGATGCTTATCCGGATCATACTTCAAGTGCTATCGCGGCAGAGCAGTTTCCTCGCAGTTTGGCAGCTTTCTTGTTCCCGTTGTTCACACCAAAGATGTATGCTGCTCTTGGGTATGGATGGGGAAACAGTGCTATGGCGTTTGCGGAGTTGGCGCTCGAGTTGGCTGCGCCGTTATTGTTGTGGAAGGTTGGGGCTAGCCTACGAGCGAGGGCAACGTCGAGTCTGTAGGGGTGAGTGACTTAGTGGAGAGAGGATATTGGTATTGATACTGTCGATTTGTGTACTTTCTGTCTTGTCATCATTACTCGAACCACTCACCGACCGCCATATTCCAAGTTTAATCTTCTGCCTACTTGCTAGATCTAATACTCAAACCTCCATCGAGGATCAGTGTCTCCTCTCCAGTCCTCCACCTCTCCAACGTGCTTAATCTCCTCACTCACCGCCGCCCGAGCATCATTCTGCTTCTTCAACCTCCAGCCAAGGATACTTACAACCACAATATTAGCAACAAGATACCCCAGCGCCATAGAATGTCCAACCACAAATCGCGGCCCATCACCAGATCGATACAGCTGTGTTCCCATAACAGCACCAAGATTTCCAATGCTAATCTGCATAGCATTCGCAATAGCACGCTTGGTCTGTCCAGATACGTTGATAGCAGGCCAGCTAAGTACAAGAGCCGTGGCAGGGTAGATTCCGGCTGCAGCGAAGAATGTTCCAACGTATGATACTCCTGGTCTTGCGGTGGGGTTGGTGTTGGCGAGAAGGATGATGTAGCCAATTGCTGCTACACCAGCTGAGCCGGCGATGAAGACAGCGCGTTTGGCGAGTTTCTCAGAGGCGATAGCGACGCCTAGAGTTGTGACGAAGGCGACGGCGTATGGTGGGATTGTCAGCAGCTGAGCGACCGCTGCTTTGTATCCGAGGTCTTTAATAATAGTGGGCTAATTTGGTCAGTAGGACTTCTGACCTTAGTCCTTAGTAACTTACCAAGAAAAGCGAAAGAGTGTACAGCGGCAGACTCATGGTGTGAAAGCCCAAACCATAGAGCCAGCAACTTGGGTCACTGAATGCCTCGCGAACAGCAGCCCAGCTAAACTTCTCTTCCCGAATAGCGTCGCTATCTGCATGCAGACGCTCATGGATGAAGGAGCGCTCCGACTTTGTGAGGAATTTCGATGTATCAGGGTAGTTCTCTATGAACCAGTATGCCGCCACGGCGACTAATACTGTCGCGATACCTTCCTGATTCATGTCAGCGTGGTCATAAGAGAGAATTATGAGTGTCTTACCAAGATGAAAATCCATCGCCATCCGTTATCCCAGACTACACCTGCCATCTTTCCAATGCCCTGAGCCCGGTTAGTAAAGATACCGCGATGAAGCGAAGGAGGCGTACATATGCCAAGATACCACCGAAAGCCCCGGCTAGTGATGCAGCACTAAAGAAGAGCGAGATGCGGTATTGTCGCTCACGTCGCTTATACCACATGGAGAAGTAGTACACAACACCTACTCATCATCAATACGATCATTCCAAACATGAGCCATCACGAGTAAACCTACCGGGAAACAATCCGCTCTCAGTTACACCCAGGAAGAATCGAGCAATGAAGAAACCAGTCTTATTCTGCACGATACCGAGAAGCGTGGCTACAATACCCCAGGCCACAGTGAGAGCTGGCAGCCATAGCCGAGGTGTTGTTCGCTTGAGGATAATGTTGCAGGGAATCTAGAGCTGTCAGAAACATGCTTGGATGGAATGATGATCGACGGACCTCAAAGAGAACATAACCGATAAAGTACAGCGTCAAACCAGTGAGATACTCATTGCCCGCTATTCGACGTCAGCTTGGGAGATATGAAGGCAGTTCCGTCGTTCTTACACATATGGAGATCATCAATCATGCCCTCAATACGAGCATTTCCAACTGTCCGTTTATGTCAGCTCGACATCAAGCCGTTCTGTCGCGATCTTCCCTACCATTGCTGCGGTCCAAGAACGACAGCAGATACAAGATCCCAACTGCTGGTAGAAGCTTCAAGTCAAGTTTGCGGAGCAGCGCCTTCTCGTTTATTTGCGAGCTAGAGTCGATGGTGCCGGCCTCATCGCTGAGGTCCGGCGGCGAATCGTTCTTCAAGTCAGCAGCCATCGTGCAGAGCCGCGTCTAGAGATTCAATAGTAGAAGGTGTCAGGAACTTGAAAGTTCGGACGGACCATGTCAGTTAAATATGCTTGGGGGGTGAGAATGATGTCTCAGTCTAGTATTATTGCACCATACGTTCCTTGTTCAGATCTTCACGAGGTTTCATCCATTTCAACTTGTCATTTCGATGCAACGCTGATGTTGGTACTTCTGCAATCGCGGACAAACCCGCTTCGACAAAAGTACCTCAGACGAGATCTACAACACCTCTTACCCTTTCTAAAATTAAGAGCGATGCACAGAAAGATTGAGTACAGTGATGGATGCACAATCTAGCTGCATCGATCGGAGCATTGTCCCCAAACGACCCAAACATGACGTTGATGCGTAGAATGAACCACTGTCGGCACTTGATTAATTCCATGACATCACCATTCTAGTGAAGGGGTTGTCGTTGAGACGAGCAGTTGATATGTCGCCATGTTAGTAGCCTCTGTGGTGATTTCGAACGGGCCAATGGGAGCGTTTGTGATAACGGCTTGGCTTACCCGCTTGGGGTAGCGTGGGGAACCATGAACGTGGGATTTCAGTGGAATTACGGAGCAGATTTAAGATATCGATACGGGGCACTGGGCTTCGGCTTCTTATGAATGCATTGAATTGAACGAATGAGATTGGAGGAGAGAGTAAAGCGGCTATAACGAATTGGAATCGGAGTCGAATTCACGCCACTAGCAGCCCTAGAAGTCGACCAGGTTCAATATTGCGTCCTGACATAAGCCTGAAGACATCATTCAACGATCTCCTCGATTTTCAATCACAAATACATCTTCAGACATTAGGTATGCAACGTCTGCATAGCCTTATGTCTTACTGGGAACCAAGCCCAGTCAGAAGCTCACGCATATCGAGTCCTGTACCTTAAGAAGTTGAGATCCCACTATTTCACGTTCGAGAACGACTATCTCTTTAGCCATACGTTTTTTGAATGCCACCTGATACTTAAATTCAACGTGGGGATGGTGCTGTTGTATGCTGTTACTCGTCCTGTTGAGGTTCTTTCTCCTCTCGCGAGGGGTCCGAGATCATGATGGTAACGTACCGACCACCATTCAAGGCGCGGTTTGATTGAACAGTGTATTAAGGATTATCGGGTCGATATTTATTGAGGCTTTTCTATGCGGTTTATTTTTAGAATTCAGACATCGTGTTATCAACCCCTCTTCAGCTCGTACTACCGAGGCCTTTTATATCCGTACAACATATCTTAAACAGGCCAGACTAACCATATCAATTTACTAAATACTACTCTGTCCATTTCAGATCAATATTCTATCCAACTTTGTTCAAATGAGAGCAAACATGTAGTACTACTGTTGCAGCAACGAGACGGGAAATGATATTGAAACCTTATATGATATGCCGAAAACCTTGTTCGTATGGGAACCCGGCGCGTTACACGTTGCGGGGGAACGGCGCTGAGAAACGGTACACAACAGCAAAGAACACGTAGTCATCTCAATGAGGGTTTTAATTCACAGTTGAAGTTTCCGACGAGCGCGTATTCCGACGGACGTAATATGTTTTGAAGTTCATCCGAGTATCAACTGCATACTCCGCATTCATAATCTTACATAGACCCGACTACCTTCATCGAGACCGAATCTTCATTAAAGCTACGATAGAATCTTCACCCACTAGGCCCATCATTGCTTCAGCCATATACATCTCCCAGCTTCAACTTCATTTCTCTTACTGGATCAGAATGGGGTCCCTCATGACCAAGACCAACACGCCAAAAGACGGCATAAAAATCATCCACGCAGGTCTTTACCGCACAGGAACAGCCTCCATGGCCGCAGCGTACCGTATCCTCGGCTACAAAGCCCATCACGCTCTACACAACGAATGGCATGAACCGTGGACGAAACTCGAGGAAGCAGCAGAAGCTACCTTTCCTCACCTTGTCCATTTCCCAGACTACACTCACAACGGTCCTCGTCCACCGTTCACCAGAGAAGATTGGGAGAGCTTATGGGGTGCTTATGATGTCGCGACTGATATAGCGTCGACTTTCACGTTAGAGCTCATCAAGGCGTATCCTGATGCAAAAGTGGTCATTGTCCAGAGAAAATTTGAAGATTGGTGGCCTTCGTTTCACTCGGAGATATTGGTCTCTGTGTTTGAGGTAACCTGGCTTCAAAAGTTCTTGACGTGGTATGTTTTGCGTTTCCGGGCTTTACATGCCATGAGGAAGATTCTTGCTGGTTTCTTCTCTGTGAATGAGTACTCTGTGGAAGCCATTACGCCCGAGATTGCAAGGAATACGTATGAAGAGTTTTATAGCAAGGTTCGGGAAGCTGTGCCTAAGGCAAGACGGTTGGAGTATTCTCTTGGTGATGGATGGGAACCACTTTGTGAGTTCCTCGGGAAGGATGTACCGGATGTCAAGTTTCCGAGAGTCAATGATCGTAAGACGCATAGTGAGGATATGGAGAGACTGATGGCTAAGCTGATGACGGTTTCGATGGGTGTTCTTGGACCTTATCTCGTTGCCATTCTTGCGGCTGTTGTTGTGCTTTATGCCTGGTAAGGGTGCATGTCAAAGTCATCAGAGTACTGGTTATTATTCACCATCTAGCGGCTTCAGGGCAGTATTGCGGGTAGAATAGAAAATCCCAAAAAAGAAATAGCAGCAATATATACTACTTGAATATTAAACGTTATTACGTAGAGCACCAATCGATCTCGACCAAGAACTCCGTCATCTCAATACCAAGTCCAAACATCATAACTTCTCATAGCCCTATCACCACAAGTCATAAACTCTCATAGGCATACCTCTCTTGCTCAACGGAAGAGCAGTACTATTCCTCGTCACATTCTGGATGGTACATCCCTCCGTCTTGTACGACTTGGCATACTGGCCAGTCAAAACAGTAGCCAACCACTGAATAGCCGTAGCAGCATTAAGCGCAAAGTTCTGCGAATGGGTGCCAACAGTATTTCGTTGATACAGGATATTAGCGCCGATACCACAGTATCGCTCAATGAGCTTATCGGTGTTGGCGATTGGGCTGATCTCATCGTGAACACCTTGGTACGCAAAGATGGGCCATTGGGGAACGCCGTGATAGCCCATTATTCCGTCGCGGTTGATGATGCGCTGAACGCGAGGATCGCGGAATATTTTTTCGCCGTCCTTGAAAAAGTCGAAGATATCGACTCCTGCATATGCGCTGCCTGCTTCAGCGAGGGTGTAGTTCTCGGCAGCTAGGAAGGCAGTCTTGTTGTTTTCTCCAGATGTCTTCAATTGCGAGAGCAGATACTTCTGTGCTTCAGGGTACTGGCTAGTCAACCCCAGGATAGAGCTTGGCGCAAGGCCAGCAGCGTCTTTGCCAGAAATAGCATCCAAGACAGCAGTGACATTGGGTGTCAAGCCACCAAGTGCAGCACCAACGACAGTATCTTCAAGATCGGGCGCATACTGCACAGCAAGTTCAGAAGCCCATTCACTAGCCAGCGCGCCACCAGAGTATCCCCACAGCGCAACCCGAGGGTTCGTTGTGTTCAGACCAAGACCGAGAGACAGAACAGCGCGGATTGAATCAAGAGTTGCATGGCCGGAGATGACACCTGCTGTGAACGACGCGAGAGGCCCTTCGTAGTCAGGAACACAGAGAAAAACACCAAGGCCTAGTGCAGCGTTGAAAAGCTCCAGACTGCTCACACCATCTGCGGAGTAAACCGCGTAACTGGGACTGGCATCCACATCTGCTGAATCATAGGGAACTTGGTACGAGAGCAAAGCGCTCTGGTTGAACAGCGTCGCAGCAGAGCTGTTGGCCCCAAGTTTAGGCACAAACAGCGTCGTGACAGCCCATGTTGGCTTGTATTGGCTGTCTGTAGTGCGGTACAGAATATTATACGTCGCAGAGCTGTTTCCCGTGATGCGGGTCAAATTTCCCGGTGCAGGGCGCAGACGAAGAACAGTGCCGGGCTCTTTGTTCTCGTAGCCTTCTGGGGCGGTATACCATGGATCTTCACTGGGCGGGAGAGGTTCAGACGAGATAGCTCGTTTGTAAATATGGCCTTGAGCAGCAGCAGTGAGGCCTAGCAAGAGAGTGAGGACACGATGAAGAGCCATTGTGAAGTATGATGTAATTGACCAGCAGTCCGAGCCCTCAAGCAATGGCGGAGAAGAGCCTTTTTGACTCGATTTTACATCACATTACGTATGACGCCGAGCCGAGGCTTCCGCCAACCGTGCCCCAAAAACTAAACATGGTTCAGAAAAAAAAGCTTGGGAGATGCCTTTTCGATAGTTCAAAGCCTAGTTTGGCAGTTATGACGGTGAGTCTTTGGTGGCTGGACGAATTAGCTTGTCCGACATGACCAATTAGAGGGGCTTAAGTCCACAAGGTTGGTCCGGTTTGCCGTTGGAGTTGCGGGGTTGAGACATGGGTAGGGACAGAGTCCGATGGAGAGAAGGGTTTATTTTTGTTTCCGGGGATGACGTTGGATGGGAGATGAGCCTTGTGATGTTTCGGTGGGGGAATACGTGCTTGGCTGTTGCTGGGCGGTGTTTTGCTTGGAACATTGACATGGTGATAGAGATGGAGATGGAGGAAGCCACTGTTGAGGGACACGGCAGACTGACGCCCGCCGCTGAGCCAAGGCTGAGAATCAAAACCTTGGTGGCATACACCATTAGCAAAGTTCTTCGGCTTACTTCCCGGTACTGGCGTCACCCGTTACGCGTGCGTGCGCTGCGTTTGTGCGTTGGCATCTCTAGCTCCGTCGTCAAATGCGGGGTTTTAATCCAACGATTGAACTGCCCCTCTGGGAGCAAGAAAGCACCAGACAGGTGTCAAATAAACCCAGCAAAGGATATCCTAAGTTTATGCTAAACTCATCCTAAATTTATGCTAAGTGTTTTTGTCACTTAGGATCAAGGTCCCAAATTTCCTTTCCTCCCCTAGCTGCCCGATTTGCGACTTCAAGAGAAAGAACATGTGCAAATGCAATCGAGGGACTGAATAATGAAGAACTGGCCCAGAGCTTCGGAAGGTTTCATCTTGCAGTTACAAGGTTCTAAGTTAGAGTAATCGGCAAATCCATCTGTAGAGTTTAATTGACCTTGATGGCACTGTGTCATTCATGACGCAATGGGCTTGGTAATCTCAAAGTCTGTGGCTGATAAAAAGGCGGGCGAGATGCGTTAGTGTTGTAGCTGATTATCGCGTTTTTTGCGTGCTACTCTGTTAAGAGATAAGCGCTAGTAATCGTCTTATTATATCACCCAACTGACCTACCCGGCAGTCGACAGACAATTCTTTGCTCAAGGTACCTCGATGTAGACCTCATGTGTACAATTCCTATGCTACATATCGCATTTTAACTGTAAACCTGTCTTGAATTATGAGTAAAAAAAAGCTCAGTGCTTATGAATAGCGCAAAATAGCTTGACTTGCTTGGGAGATCATGAGTAAAATGCGTTATATTTACATGTACTTAGACTGATGATAAAATTCTATAAACTCTCCTATTTCAACCTAATCTATTGTAAAGCGTAATCTATGAGTTCTCATGGACGGGAAGCCCCGGCGCGTCTCGCCATGTTTCTACTCAGTCTTCCAGTAGGGGTTGTTGATGGCCTCGGTAATAATCTGCCTGAGTGGCTTCCAGTCTTCCTGACCAGCCCACTTCTTCAAGAGAGCAACAGGCTCAGACTGATCCGTCGAGACCTTGAGATAGAACGTCTCAGGATAGTCATCGATGAACTTCCTCTGCGGTCGAAGCTCTCGCAGTATGGGCAAGAAATCGTTCCAGTGAGCTTTGTGGCCCCACGTCTGGAGACGCGCATCCTTGACTTCGGGATCAAGAATGGCAGCGACGTGAATGAGGGCAACGTCTTGGACGTCGACAAAGAATGCTTGGGGGTTGAACGTTAGTATGTTGCGAGGGAGTTGGCTGATGGATGGACCTACAGGTTTGGAACGTGTCAATCATCTCCCTCTTCTCGATGAAGAGAGAATAAATCCAGTTTCCGTATGAACTGGCGTGTTTCTCGTGGAGCGGCTCGCCCAAGATACCAGAAGGGCTGACAACATTGGTCACAAAGTGAGGCTTGTTCTCGTCGACGTATTTCCATAGCGCCTGTTCTGCAGCGACCTTGCTTGCAGCATAGACGAGCATTGCACGCGAGGGTTCGTAAGGCGGTGGAGCCCAGGCTTCTTTGACAGCAAACTCGTTCCACGAATTGCGGTCAACGACATCGTCTTGATCAGGTGTAGGGAAAACTACTGCGACGATGGAGCTCGTGAAGACAAAGCGGGTGACAGACGACTCTTTGGATGCACTTTCGAGGACAGAGGTTACTCCTGCGACAGTCTGGGGGACGACATTGTTGGGGTTGGGATCAAAGTCGAGAACACTTGCAATGTGAGCAACGGCTGAGACACCTTTCACTGCCTTGTCAAAAGCTCCAGCAGCAGATAGGTCAGGAACAGTAACGAGCTCGTAGGAGCCGCTGTCGGCATAAGACTTGAAGTGATCGTCAATGAGCCATTGAGCTTTGGCTTGGTCACGGACTGTGCCTCGGACTTTGAAGCCGCGCTGGAGAAGTTGACGGGAAACGTGGCTGGCGACAAAGCCTGTAGCGCCGGTGACGAGGACCCATGAGCCGGCGGGGATGGCTGTTGGAGGTGAAGACATTGTCAAATGCAGGTGTATTGAAGACGAGAAGGCTATGTGGGTTGTGCGTTTGAGACGGATGAGGTGAAGTAGCTGATCGATATACATATATATAGCTTTCCAATAGTCGATGAGGGACACAACAGCCGCCGGATGTCATGGCCCATCTCTTGAGCTTACAAACCAACGGATGCTTCATAATGGAGAAACCTGGTCCTCGAAGCCGAAAGAATAGAAACGATCCTGTGAATGGCCTGTGTGGATATGTGTTGCGGTCATATTCTGAGGTTCGGCAGTCTGTACTTGAAAAGGAAGTCATAAGGCTTGGCAAAGTGGACACTAATGACAACTACTACAAATTGCAGAGAAAGATACATCTTGTGGTTATATGTATTATCGAAAATAGCTTACGCAAGGAACTGAATCACATGTTCTATTGTACCTCACCAGCAGTGGCTGGATTAAGAAATGCCCTTCGGCAACTGTAGCCCTGGACTCTCCCGCATTTCAAGGAATCTAAAATACATGCGCTTCAGCAGTCCCGTCCCATCGAGGCACTGAGAACCCCCTGCCGCTTCTATCATCGCAAACACACCCTGGATATGTTGCCTCGCAACAACAGGCTCACCAAAATTAACCTACTCAAACATCAGAACAAACTTCTGCGCTGCACAAAAGACTTACCTCATCTAAAGCCATAGCACAAGCTTTCGCAATAGTTAGCGCGCTGAGAGTCGGTGAGGCGCCACTAACGGCATGGCGTAGTGCCTTGAGACCGCTATACTTGTACTGCAGTGCGGCCGGCATCAAACCGGAGTTGGGGTTGTTGCTAATGATATGGCGGCATGCGCCGAGGAGGATGATGGAGCAGAGAAGATCACTGTCTGTAATGGCGAGACCGACCCAGTCGCGCATCACGTGTCCTTCATGGTCGTTCATCTTGTTGAAAAGACGGCATGTCTTGACGTTGTATGGAACAACGACACGAATATCTTGAAAGTGCCGTTAGCGGATGGTCATGGACGAAGGGGCAAACATACAGTGGTCGAGAAGAAAGTTCTCATAAGATAAGAGTTGTTTCGGAAGCGCGGCAAATGGATCACGGCTATACCCAAGAACCTTGTTCAGCGAAGTACTCTCCGCATTTCTAGCCATGTCCTCCTGATGTTTCTGCATCCGTAGTCTTCTCTCCTTGGCATGTCTCTGCCGAACTGCATGGGAGTGAGTTAAGCTCCGGACATGCTGGGAGACAGGCTTAGTTGGGTTAGAGACGGTGATAAATTGAAAGTCTCGCGGCATTTTTGTTTTCTTTATAGCGCTTTTGCGATCCATAAGATGGAAAGCAGGGAGGTTGAAGTACCGGAGAGAAGAACATTTAGGAACATTTAAGGAGTTACTAAGCTAAGGTGAAATGCCAAGACTTACAACTTCTTGTCTGGGTTAGGGTGAGTTTTGGGAACCACTGAGCTATTTTTGGCTAGCGGGGCTCGAAGGACCGCACGCTCCTGGGATGATGAGGAGCATGTTCAGGTCAAGCTCTACTTGAAGGATGAGGATGAGAATGCGATACCCATATCGCACAGGCCCTTGTTCATTCCGGAGCTTGCAGAGTGTTTCGGAGGACTCTGTTGGTAATTCCAAGTCCCATTACTCAACATTCACAGCGAGCATTATGAACTCTGTTCCGTGCCAACTATCCATCGTCTCTTAGATATTACACAACGGCATAACTCCACGGGACAGATTATCTATATCATACAGTATTTTACAGCAAGACATTGTTCTTTTGCTACTGCTCTACGCATCCACCAACCCTCAGCATTCTTATACACCGTAGCGAAACTCACGGAACTTCTTCTGGTAGTAATACGTCGCAAGTCCACCCACAGCACCAAGAAGAAGCGGCACAGGAGCTCGGCCACCAGTCTTGATGATTCTGGGCACAGCAGAGCCGGTAAGGAGGACACTGTTGGCAAGAGCAAGCTCAGACCCGTAGTCCTTGTTGTTCTTGAGAAGATAGCCTACGCCTTGTGAGTCGGGAGATCATCTGAGGAAGAGGAGCACATACCAGCGTAAGCGTATGAGACACCGAGACCGACACCAGCGACGAGAGAAGGTGTTGAGCGAGTTCGGATGTAGCCAGCTGTACCGCCAGCGGCCACTGCAGACGAAGGATGGTCAATTGGGGTCCTGGTCACAGCGGGGGTTGGTGAGGTGACTTACGGAGACCAGCGAGAGTGAATGAAGGGTGCTCGGCCATTTTTGCGACGTCAATGGCGATCAATGATACACTGCAAACAAGCTTTTGGGTTGATGAGGCTTGTCGGCATCAGCGGCATTTGGTGGGCTGATCCTCGGAGCTGGCTGACAAATGCATCTAATGGGCTCGGAGAAATGTGGTTCCGGAGCTCATCGTGCAAACGCGATCGCGTATCAATATCGCGTCAACCATCGTGATTTGCTGAACGATGAGACTGGACACATCTCCTCAAGAATAGTGTTTCAGTGAGATACATCAGTTGCCATGCTCTCTCAAGACATTGCGCACCCATTCCAGACCCGCGGTCAACCCTTCCCCGGTCAAGGCGCTTGTAGGTTGAACGCGCTGTAAATCACGCGTTAGATCAGTTTGAAAGTGCGATGTGAGGTTGGACTGACACATTTCGACGGGTTGTGAAGATGCTGTTGTATATCGAGATATTCAATCGATTCCGTAACGCTCATGGCTTTCTCTCTTGTGTCAGTTCCCGAGATGACACCTGTCAAGATGCTTCTCACCGGATCATCCTGCTTATTAGCAAGGACCAAAAATGGCTGCTGCTCAAGCATATCTTCCTTCAACAACCCAACCAATTCCGTCTTCGCTTCCTGTAGCGCATCCCTGTCTGTGCTATCGATTACAAACACAACGGCTTGTAGTCTAGACATGAAACTTCTCCAGCAAGGTCTCCAGTGAGGGTTTCCAGCGTAGTCGAAGAGTTTGAACTGTTGGTTTCCCTGAAACACGGGTGTAATCTCGACAGCTATTGATGTTAGTGTTGTGACTTCAATTGCCGACAGAAGGAGACTCACTCTCAGTGGATGGCGTCACCGGATCTGAGTTTCCGCTCAACTTATGCACGATGGTTGTTTTTCCTGCTGAGCGAAGACCAATCAAGCCAACTGTGATTGGGGCCGGAGCCCAGAGCTGAGAGACTGCAGCGCCCATGTTGAATTCTTTTGCTAATGATGTTGGGCTTTGTAGGGACGGAGTGTTGTTTGTCGTGGGCGGAGCTCTGCGTTTTATGAATCCGTTGCAAGGCTGAGCAGGCGTCAGCGGGGACTAACAAGTAAGCACTCCTCTTGACAGCTCACCCACTTTGGCTGCTTGTGAGCAGGCCGGATCTGTTGCCGAAAAGACCTTTCTCGTTGGGAATAATGGTGTCGATCCAAGAGCTGAATTGACCCTCATGCCTTTCGTCTTTATTCGGGATCGCGATATCAAGGCCAGACTTTTCACATCATCTCCATGTCCACGAGGCAAATGGCTAACCCCATCAAATTTGCGCTGTGAATTGTTTCGGAAATCATATCCAAAGAGACTTCTCTACAGTGCTGCCTTCCAGCACGGCCGACAGTTGAACCGGCCCTTGGGGTCCTGGCATCCCCCGAAAGCGCGCATGATCACGACCACCGGGTTTCCCAAACAAGAAGATTAAAGCGGTTCGGAACAAAGCTGAAAGGGAGAGTTCTCTGTTACAGGTTCCAGATCTTGTGGGGTTGTTTGACGCGAGCAATCCTGTTCCTCGACTGAACGGGGATGAGGAATACACAGGTCGAGATCCTCCACACGAAGCAAAGGCGAGATGCGGTACAGTTGCAACGAAGGCGAGAGGGGTAGCGAATGTGTATTGGTAACAGGACTACCCCTGCGTCTTTGTTTTCTCCTTCCTCTTCAGATCGTGCGAGGTAGTTGTCGGTGATTGCCGATGCAAGAGGCTGACCGATTTGACTTCAACAACCGTTGGACGTTATTAATGCAAAGAAAACAGTGTGTGAGAGGAAGAGGCCTTCACTGTATCTTGATTACGCTGAAGACGATAACGATCATCTGGTAACCGCACTCAGATCAATGGTTTATTTGGAGAGCATTCCGAGGCACCAATGCCTCTTTCACCCAGCCAATCATGGGCTACATGCTGCACTTGAAGTTTTATAGCTCTTACAGCTGGCGGCCAGTGGCCGGAGCCTATGATTCATGTTGGCACTGAGAGAGCAGCAGGTGCAGGTGCCCGATGTTTATTCTCTCGTCATCCGCCTGAGCTTCAAACCCCTCTTCTTCTCTAAACTTGGCTTCTTTCAATCTTCCTCTCTCATCTCCCGACATCCTGGACAGAGAACTTCCATCTTCACATCATTCTCTTCTCCTTTCTTTTCTTATCATATCATTCATCGCGTGGTTAGTTACGCGTCTAAGCTTCCTCTCTTGCGCCTGTATAAATCTAACCGACTCCCTAGATCCTCTCTATCCTGCAATAATGGCCAACGAAGTAACGACCGATGCCTTAAACAAGATCGCCGCCATGTACTCTGGACTTCTTGAATGGGTCAAGCAACCGGTAGACCAGACGCGCAACGCCAGAGCGAACACAAAGGTCAACGCCATCATGTACGAAGAAGAGCCCAAATCCTCGATGTATCCTGAGCTGCATGGCCTGATCGCGGAGTACCTCGAAAGAAGATGGCCTCAGTTATACATTCCGCCAAGACTACCAAAAGATCAACATCAAGCGCGTATTTGACAGCAAAGTCGTCGGCGAATTCGAATGCAGCAGACTTGGGTGTACCAACCGCTCCTGGGAAAGCAACAGCATTGCGATCCGTATCCGGGAGTACGAGGGAAATCAGTACAATGTCAAGGTGTACCACCAGCAATGCAAGAGATGCAATCGATACACCCGCCCAGAGATCGAAATACTTTCCTACGTTGACAGAGTCTCCTTTCGCATCAAGAAATGGAACGGTATCAACGCGAAGCCGATCCCCATCGATGTGGTGCACAAGAGACCTCACATGGAGAGACTGTGTGAAGGATGCAAGAAGGGACATTGCAGCAAGAAGAAGTAGAGAAAAAGGGACACGATTGTTAGTGGCTGAGGTCTCTTGAGGACATTGAAGATATTGGGTCTGGACGCGGGAATCTACTGAGAGCAAAGTATGTTACGGCTCTGCTTGTGACGGAGATGAAGTTTGACAACTATCTTTGATGGGATTAACTCTGGAAGAATTTACCATAGCCAATAGCGTCGCATAGAAGCGCTTCCAGTGTAGACCATGAACAATGAAGTAACTGTTTGCAACACTGAGAATTGTTCCGTTCAGATTATGACTGGGGGTTCTTCATTGTTGACCATTCACTTGACCTCACCACGAAAGCCTTACACCAAAACACGCACAGAAAAGGGCACGCCATTTCACCTCAGACTTTGCAGTCCATTCAAAGTTTTCTCAACCGAGTCCCGGCCAGTCTCTGCACCCGCGTTGTCCACCCCCGACCCCACCGCCGCAACCAACCCAGCAGCCGAGATCGTCAGTCAGCCACAACACAGCTTCTACAGCCAAGAGAACCAGGAAAATGAACGGAGATCAATTCGAAGAAAGTGCAAAAAACATACAACAGCGGG